CCTATTTTAGTAGATTTCTTTAGACTTCTTAACTAGCTTACTAAAAAGTTATTAAAACGATAGGATTATATATAATATAATCCTAATAGTTATATATTAAATAATTAAAGTAGTATAATTTCTAGTAATAACTAAGTAACTAAACGCTATAGGTTTAGTGAGGATCTTATACTAAGAGATTAAATATTAATATAGTACGCTTAAAGCTATTATTAGTAATTAAAATAAGTTAATTACTAGCTAGTTCTAATAAGACTAAACTAAAGCTTAAAATATAGAAGGGTATATCTCTACTATATAGTATTTATAAATAGATAGCTAAACTAAAAGAATATATTAAACCCTAACTATATACCTCTTAAAGTTTAATAAAAGCTTATATAACTAGTAAGTAATATAGCTAGTTAAAACTAAATTCTCTTATAATAATAGTAGATATACTACTATTAGTATATTACTATTTAAGGCTCTTATAGGTTACTATTTTTAAATAATTAATTACTACCTATTAGGTATTAAAATTAAAACCTAAAGGGTTAATAAAAAGCTTAAGAAGCTAATAGAGGTTTACTAAAGGATAGCTAAGAATTAGTAATATATAATAGAAGTATAAGCTAAAAATATAAATACTAAAAAGAAGGTATAATTATATAAAGTTAGAGATATTATAGGGCTTTTAATAAAGAACTTCTATTTTATAAAAAGTTAGTAAAAACTCACCTTATAATTTATTCTTATACTAATTATAGAGGTTATAAGCCTTAATACCTATAAAGTATAGCTTTTAGAAAAATATAATAGGGTATATAATATCTTCTTAGTCGCTTTATTAAAGCTATAGTATAGCTAAAAGCTTATTAAAAGATAGTTTCTAGACCTAGAAGAGGACCTTAAAGAATAGGAAGTTAAGGATATTATATTATAAAGAGATATACTAGTAAGCCCCCTATATTTAGTTAAGTAGAAAGGCTAGCTAGTAGAATATAACACCTAAAAGCCTAAAGAATACTTAGTAAACACTTTGTAAATCCTTATAGGATTTAAGAAGTAATAGTATAAGTTATACTATAAATAGGATAATAAGTAGTATAGAGAAATAAGGAAAAGTTAATTAACTATAGAAAGATCTACTAAAAACTACTAAGAATTATCCTCTAAGTTGCTTAAATCCTCACTAATACTATTACTATTAGGACTAATATCTATATTATTCTTACTATTACTACTCTCACTCTCTAATAACTTATCCTCCTCCTTAAAGCTAATAAGATTCTTATAAATACTTATAGAGGAGGCGCTAATATCCTTATAAGTATTAGGTTAGGAAGTAAAGCTAGAGCTAATATATTTAAGGATTATAACTAGGGTGTACTTATAAGAATTATAAAATATCTAAGAAACTTAGACCTTAGAGGGATCTTAAATAAGTAAATTAGATATATAAAAGTTATTACTTAAGAGATACTTCTCTAGGATATTATTAAGCTTATTAAGGAACTAAGTTTAGTTAAAAATATAGCTCTTATCTTAGAAGTATTAAAGTAGGGTATTCTTAAGTTAAAGATAAGTTTACTTAATAAGGTCCTTATCCTTCTTTTAGTAAGTATTTTATAAAGAAACTATTAACTATTAAAAAAAAACCTAATCTAAAAGATTATATACTTTAAGCTAAATCTTAAAATATACTTAAGCGTAGTTAGTAGTAGTCTCCTTAGTATTTATCTATAGTAATTAGTTATTATACTACTTAGAGTTAAGCTAAAACTTAGTAAGGTTTACTAACTACTTATAGAGTAATAAGAGAAGCGTCTAACTATTTATAATTATAATATATATATAGTAGATCTTATACTAATAATACTTATTAGCTTTAATCTAAATAGTATAGTATTTTACTTAGTTCTAGAAGATTTAAGTACTATTAACTAAGTAGTTAGAGATCTAGTTATACTAATAGTTAGTTTAATACTTTAGTAAAAAGTTACTAAACACTTACTTTATAATACTTAATACTATATAAATAATATATTTAGTAGGTAGTATTACCTATATTAATATAAGTATATACTACTCTAGTAGTTTAGTAAAGCTATAAAGCGTAAGAGATATAAAGCTTATTACTACTTAATTAGTTATACTAATAAGTACTACTATTCTTCACTAAGTTATTAGGCTTATATAATATTAGAATATAAGTAATTAAGGTCTTAGTACTTATAATAATTAGATATAAAAGTAGTATTAAAAGGAGAAAGCTTTATAAAAGCTTAATAAAGCCTTATAAAATATAAAAGTTATTATAATATAATATAATAAGGAGGAAGAAAAAGAAACTAACCCTAAATAGGAAAAAAAGTACTACTTTATAGATAGATATAAGGTATTATTAAATAATTAAGGAGGTAACTATAACTTTAGATAGTAAGAATAGTAGTTATTTACTATAGTAAATACTACTAAAAGTAAGAAAGTAAATATAGTAAATTAATAATAGTAGTTACTATCTAATATTCTAAATAACCTTATAATATACTTATTTTAGAAAGGGGATAAATAGAATAAAAAAATAAAGTTATTATAAAACTATTATTTAGAAAGAGTTTACTAAGTAAAGAATAAAATATCTATAAATAAAGAATATAAAACCTATTAAAGATAATTTCTTTTTTTAAGGAATAAAAGAGATCTCTAATAAAATCCTATTTAGTAAATAATATAACTCTAAGAGTAGGATTATAGGACCTATAGAGATAATAATAGTACTAAGAGATAAAGAAACCTTAGTAAATATATAGTAGATAACTACTATATAGATAATAGAGATAACTTATAATAATAATAGTAATTATAAAAAACTTATTATAAATAATAGAGGTTCTTACTTACTACTAATCCTATTCTATAATAAGGACTACTATAATTAGAAAGGGGATAATTATAAAGGTCTAGTTACTTAGACTAAAAGAGCTTAGGGATAGTTTAGCTAGATTAAACTAAAAGGATAGAGAACTCTATAGAGATAGGGTATAGAACCCTCTATAGTAAGGATTTAATAAGTACTTACTAAAGAATTAGAAAAGAAGATCTTAGAAGAAGTAAGTAAAAGTAGCGTAGTAATACTATACTTACTTTTTAGGTGCTTTTTCTATCAATTTAACCTAACTATAGCCTATAGCCCCTAAATACCTTTACAGATTAATGCTGCGATTATAGCTGCTACCTCTAATGCAGTTAACTACATACATATCACCACTAACGTAGTCAATATAATACGATATTTACTGCCCACAGTGACCCTTACCAGCTAGCTGGTCCTGTGAGACCAACAATTATGTCCAGAGGTCTTGAATGCTTTAGAGGGGAAATCCATCCGTAAGGGATGTCTTCATGAGACAAACAAGCATCGTTCCATGCTAGGAATGTCGAGCTGCCAATTTCTGTCGACCCGAAAAAGCGTTTGACAAGACAGGCAAGTTCTGCATTCTCGATGCCCGGCGAGTCGGCTTGGTGCGCATGCTTGAGGACTTGATGCCAAATATAGTAGGGACGGCCTGCAGCTCTTGCCCTTCGGAGTCGTGCGAAACATCGTTTGTCTGATGGTTGACGCTTAGGGGTAGCATGCGGATGTTTTCCTACTCTTGGGCGTGGTGACGATGATTGTGATGATGTCGATGATGGCGGATTCCAGAATAAGGTTTCGACCAAAAACTTAAGAGAAGAGGTTGCAACATGACGGTGCGCTTCCGTAATGCTATGCTGATCTTTGTTTTCGATATATTCCCTTGCAGATAAGTGACAGAAACGCCATATTCCTTCATGAACAAGCAAGCCACCACAGATGCTAATAATCTGTGAGTCATCAAGTTCGTTATATGGTTCAGCTCCGTTGGAAGCGGACCCCAGTTGCATGGCAAGCGACAGCTCCGCTGTGTAAAGAGGTTCAAATGCACAAAGCACCCACAAAAACGCACGCTGGGCCATCTGTGTTCGCGCCAATGGCATATCTTGGATCTGCCCCCAGACGACGTCGTATGCAGCTTCTAGTCCTTTTGGGGCTGTCTCAAGGTGGGTTGATATGGTTGATGCGTCCCAGCAAGTCAACCTTTTAAGTTGTCGAATCTGCAGAGACGCCCACTGGAACATACCCTGGCTCTTATGTCGTAAGAGATATTGGAGTCTTAGCTGAACTTCAGGACTCAACTTGTTCCATCGATGATCTGGAGACATTTCATGTCGAACAAACATGGAGATATCTTCCTCATTGTCTGTCGCTTGAATCTCGACAGTGGGTTGAGACCGGAAGTGACTCTCTATATCGTCGTCAGTCCGACTTGAAAGCAATATTCGAAGGTTTCCGTTGTCTCGAGCCAGTTCGTCCAAGGCGGTCATTATCTCCCATCTGCTGTCTCTTTCACACTCATCGAGAGCGTCGAGTATGATGGTGGTTTTAGAGTAATCTTTGATGACCTCTCCTATGAGACTTTTGCAAGTAGATACGTCAAACGTCATACCTTTGCGTTCAAGCTCATTTGGGAGGTCAAGAAGGTTCGGATGGATGATGCCGCATCGATCATCTGCTCTGACATTGGCTGACAGTTGTCGCAATATGCTGCGAAGGACGTCTTGGGGATTTCTTCGATCTGGAATATCTCTTCTGTAGTAGAAAAATGCTACTGCTTCGTTGTTCTCGGCGTTATCGATGCAATAGTCAATGACCTTTGACACAAGGAACGTCTTCCCTGCGCCAGCTACGACATGTTAGCCAGAAGATAGCGAGCGGGTGGTACACATACGAATGCCGTATACGACAGTAACTTCAGATTCTCCTTCGATCCATCGCAAGAATTCCTTTCTCTTCAAAATCCAGTCGCAAGTGCCGGATGTCCTCCTGTGGCTGATCTCTTGGTGTTGTGCATGAAACCGGATGCTTGAAATCTCCCTGAGAGTCTCAAGTTGTTTGTTTTTGTCCATTTGAACGAGAACTTGGCTGAGTTTGTCGTTCAAGTGACGAAGAGAGGATGAGCAATGCTCTTGTAAATCCAAACTTGTACTGAATGATCGTTGATACGAGATGTGCCCACACGCATCTCGGTAGTGGACGGCCTGGGTATAAAGCTTCTTCAAATCTTGCAAAACGTCTCCCGGCTTGGATGAGTTGACCACAACATCTATCGTGCGACTAGCTCTACGCTTTTCGAACCAGACGGCGCAAAACTTAAGTGCGCTCAGAACACCGGAGTAAAGCTTGATGACTTCATTGCGCAATCTGTCAAGAGACTGCTCAGCAATCTTATTTTCGTCTGGTACTCCATCAAGGCGCATGGAATTGGGTGTATAGAGCGACTCTAAGACCTGACCGGTAAAGAGGAAGTGCGGGATCCATGCGAGAATCTCAATAACATCGTCATCGTAATTATGTTTGGCTACTGCAATCTGTCGATGTTATTAGCTTCTTTGAAGCATACTACAAGTACACGGCAAGCTGATTCACCTGTAGAACAAATCGGAAAGCCGCCCACGGGAGAGCTGCATGGACAGGGTCGAACGAGGAGATGACATCGCCGACACTCTTGAAAGTGTCCAGCCATTTGACTATGTTGTCAAAACACTTCCTCTGTCCACCGCGGCTTTTCCCCAGCTCCTTCTTCTTGTTTCTTGTCTGATGGATGATTTCATCAATTTGCTGGGCTGGTGTGAGGCTCAGTTGCTCTGGACGCCCCAGGGCATCAAACCACTCTTTTTCGTCTTCCGAGAGGGCATCACGAGCCTTGACCCAAAGGTTTGGCGGCTCACACATTTTTCCGGCAGTTTTTGGGAGCTGCTGTTTGATAGGAGAGACGCCCCAGAATGTCACCATGAAGTTTTTGTTTCTGACAGCTCAGCAGCTCAGCCCGGCCAATGAAACACCCGATGCGGGCTGTGAGGCAGCAAGATGCAGGTCGCTGAGAGTGGTCAGGCCCCTGGCCAACAAAATACGGCCGTTGTGCGCTAGCCTTTTGGTGAAAACTGTTCCCACTCAGACTTAGCTGTTTGGTTGCAGTGCGGGATGGTGGGAAGGCGAGGTCGTGACGGGGCGAAGTAGGAGAGGCGAGCAAAGCGACTGGCGAACTGCCTTGTATGCGATTATTGTTCCTTCCATTTAATTGACGGGCTTCGGGCTGGGAAGGCTTCGTCCCACGAGGATACCTTGGCTGAGCGGATACTGCTATGACGACCACCTTCCTCCATTCTTTCGTGAAGGGCAGGAGCTGAACGGTGGCTCACTCGGTAAGGACGCAGAGACTCGGAATCCTTGATGACGGCGTTGCCTCGACTCGGTTTGTTGATTCATGGGAGATTTCATGCTGCGAGCTACGTGCGGTAGGAGATACAGAACTTTAGCAAGATATTAATCGGAATCACTAAAAAAATGACTGCTGCGCCCTGGCTTCTATGATACAGTCAACGGAGACTATGCCGCCGACAAAGGTAATGGAGCAAAAGAGAGTATCACCAGAAAAAACAAACAAGACAAAAGCAAGATCATGACCCCTCAGAAGGTTACATGCCGATCCCTGGAAAAGCCACCCGTTCCTGAACGCCCTATGCTTGGCCTCTTTTTCTTTTCTTCTCAGCACGTGCCCAACATATCTCTCTGGCATCTCGTCATTGCATGCGGCATTTTGATGCGTCGTTAGGGGACAAGTTACCCTACTCCTTGTCCGCTGGCTTGTCTTCGGGCTTCTCGTCCACATCCATCTTGTCTTCTTCGGGTTCCGGTGCCTTCTCTTCTGGCTTCTCGGTGGTCTCCTTCTCCTTCTCGGCAGACTCCTTCTCCTCGCTAACCGGCTCTTCCGCAGTAGGCTCCTTGACTTCGGCCTTCTCCGGCTCTGCAGCCTCGGGTTCTTTGCTGGCTTCTTTCTCAGCCTCCTTTGCAGGTTCCTTAGCAGCTTCCGTGGATTCCGCAGCCTCTGCCTTGTCAGTCGCCTCTGTCGCGGCAGGCTCAGCTGGCTCGGCGGATGGTTTGCGGGATGCGGGTTTATCTTCCTTGTCCTCCTTTTCGGCCACCTTCGCGGGTTCCGCCTCGGTCTCCTCCTTCTTGATGGTGGTTGTGGGCTCGTCAGCATCGACGCTGTCTTCCATGCCGACATCTCCATCGCCATCGATGACCTCCTTGGGAGCTTCAGGAGCAGTCTCCTTTTCGGCAGCCTTCTCCGATGACTCCTCTGTGTCGACGGGGTTCTCGAGGGTAATATCGGCGTCGACAATCGGCTCGGCGTTGGGGGCCTCCTCGTCGGCGGCTCCATTGACGGGCGACGCAGCGCTGCTGTTGGCTTCGGCCTCCTTTTGTTTGAAGTCGCGGAACGTTCGCTTCTTTGCGTTACGAGGGCGCGTGATGCCGTTTGCCTGCTCCATGTCTTCGTCGTCGCTGTCTTCGAAGTCGGCCTCGTTGTTCGTGCGCTGTTCCCAGCGGCGTTGCGTCATGCGCTCGTCGGGGTGCTCGTCGTCGTCCAAGTCGTTCAACTCGGCCTCCTCTTCATCCGTCATGCCACCAGGCAGTGGTTGGCGAGGCACATCCTGCATCTGGACGGAGGGAACGGGCTGTGTGTGTCGCAGGTTGTCGATGACGGCAGCCTTGATCTTTTCGAGGTATTCGAAGCTGTTGGAATTCTCCATGTTTGAGGGTCGGACGTTCAGCTCGAAATCGGGCGCATAGTACTAGGAACAGTCAGCCATGTTACAGCGACGGCATTACAGAGAACCCACTTCGTAGTATTCATTGTAAGGTAGCGTCCTGGGCAGGTGCTTGCCGACAAGAACACCAGTCTCATATGCCCAAGTACGGGCGACGTTACGCATGGTGTAGCCACCACCGCCAAGAACAAGGGTGGGCAACCCGAAGCTCTTGACGTATCCGACGCAGTTGGCATGGCCCTCCATGCTGAGGTTGAAGCAACCCAAGCGGTCTCCACTGAGACTGTCACCACCGCATTGGAGAACGACAGCCTCGGGCTGGTAGAACTTCATGACGTGTTCGATAACGGGTTCGAAGATAGACTTGTATGAGTTGTCGTCGATACCATCGCGGAGGGGGAAGTTGACGGCATAGTACTTGCCGGTGCCGATGCCGATGTCGCGCAACTCACCAGTACCGGGGAAGTATTCGCCGTACTTGTGGAAGGAGACGGTCATGACACGGTCGGTGGTGTAGAAGGCCTCCTCGACACCATCTCCGTGGTGGACGTCAATATCGATGTAGAGGACGCGCTTCTTGAATCGAAGGAGTTCGAGGATACCGAGGACAATGTCTGTGGGCTGTTAGCTGGCACGCGTCGCGGGCATGCTAGGATGGTCTTGTGTACCATTGACGTAACAGAAACCACTGGCTTCGCTCTTCTTGGCGTGGTGGAGGCCACCAGCCCAGTTGACGGCGATGTCGCACTTTTGGCGGTTGAGGCGGGCGGCGCCCTCCATGCTGCCACCAGCGCTGATGCCACAGAACTCGAAGAGGCCGTCAAAGACGGGACAGTCGTCGCCGACGTTGTATTTGCCTTGCTCCTTCTGATACGCGTCCATGTTGTCGGGTGTGACCTTTTGCAGGAAGTCGATGTACTCGTCCGTGTGGAACTGGGTCATTTCACCCCTAGTCGCAGGCTTTGCGCGCTACAAGAGACAAGTTAGCAGCTATCGCGTCGGTTTCGCGGGCGCTTGACGTACGTAGATCTCCATGTTCTTGAACAGGTCGTAGTGCATGATCAAACTGTGGGCAAGGCGAATGCGGTGCGGCTTCATGGGGTGACCGGTAACGTAGGCATAGTTGCCAATGTCGGAGTCGTAGAAATATGCGACCTTCTTTGGGGACGACGAAGACCCATTGGCCAGGGCCACCGATCCGAGAGGTGACATGGCGTCGGTCGTTGGGGATATTCTGTGGTTGTGTAGTATATTCGATCGATCGTGATGATTGGAATTTGGTGGTGGAGTGACTGTGGTGGAGGGAAGGATGGGAAAGGCGAGCGAAGGCTGCGCGTGGGCGTGGAAGCTCTGATCGGCTCGGCCCCAGATTTCCCAAGGCTGGGTGCACCGAAAAAGTCAGGCCAATGGACGAGCCGGATGACAGGCCAGGGGTGCAGGCCGCTGGAGGAGCTTTTCGTCCAATGAGGTAATTGGATCACTCGGTGGTGAGGGACGGCAGGTGAGATATTCCGACCAACAGTGTTGTTTGATTCGTCAGCAGCAACTAGGAGGTGCCAGCCGGCATCGCCCAATCATCGTCGCCGGTGGGGAGGCGGCAAGATGCTGACGATGGAGGGGCTGAAAGGTACATTACCGGAAGGAGCAGAAACAATATCAGGCATTCTGTTCATTTTCATAAGAGAGAATGGAGCTGACATCTATCAGACTTACCCCACTTACTTGTTTCTTATTCGAATTTGCGATTTTGGTTTGGTCTCGTTGCGATTGTTACTTTAACCCAGAAGCATGGCTCCGGATGAAGCAGGCGGTGTGACAGGGGCCCGGTCCATGTTTGAATGCAGCTCGCCTGTGGCTTTGCGAAGGTGATAAGCCACAACCCCTCGCACTTGGTACTTCGACATTGTCACTTAACAAGCGAAACACGACGCGCAATAAGCTCAAAATGTTATTTGAAGTCAAATTTTCCCTTTTCTGATTCAAATTATTTGACTTTCATAGTAAATTTAACGAGAACAATTGATCAAAAAATACCAGCGCCACGGCTACACGTGACTGTTTGTCAGCTGTGCGGTACGTACCGGACCGGGCTAGCTCCGCCGGGTCCTTTTTCGCCAGGCTGCTCAGAGCTGTCGTCAACAACTCACGAGCCAGCTGCTTCCATCCAACTCCATCACCTCAACCGCCTCCCTCCGCACCCTCTACGAACGAACACCTCCCAACCCGCGACACCTCCAATCCGAATCCTCCACCAATTCCCTTCATCATACATAGACCATCATAATGGAGCGCTTCCGCAACATGCTCCAGTCCCAAGGCCTCGGTGGCCTGGGCAGTCAGCCCGGAACGGTAAGAGCATCCCACCTTCTGAAGCTACCAGGATAGCTCCGACGACAGCATCGCCCTCGACCACGTGCTGACTTTTGAATGCAGGACAACACACAGCTCATCGACAACTCCGAGACCGTCTACATCTCTTCCCTCGCCCTCCTCAAGATGCTGCGACACGGCCGCGCTGGTGTTCCCATGGAAGTTATGGGTCTGATGCTGGGAGAGTTCGTCGACGACTTCACGGTGCGCGTGGTGGATGTCTTTGCCATGCCTCAGAGCGGTACCGGTGTTAGTGTAGAGGCCGTCGACCCTGTCTTCCAAATGAAGATGATGGACATGTTGAGACAAACCGGAAGGTAGGAATGCACCTCGACGCGACCTCGAAGCCATTACTGACTAGCAATCGACAGACCTGAAGCCGTCGTCGGCTGGTACCACTCCCATCCTGGTTTCGGCTGCTGGCTTTCCTCCGTCGATATCAACACCCAGCAGTCTTTCGAGCAGCTGACCCCCCGCGCCGTCGCCGTTGTCGTCGACCCAATCCAATCCGTCAAGGGCAAGGTCGTGATTGACGCCTTCCGCCTCATCAACCCCCAGTCGCTCATGCTTGGTCAAGAGCCTCGTCAGAGCACAAGTAACTTGGGACACCTCAACAAGCCCTCAATCCAGGCTCTGATTCACGGCCTTAACCGACACTACTACTCGATTGGCATCAACTACCGGAAGACGGCACTGGAGGAGAACATGTTGATGAACTTGCACAAGCACGTCTGGACCGAGGCGTTGGAGATGAACGACTTCAGGGCCGAGGCAGACTGCAACAAGGAGCGTCTGGAGCGTCTCGTCAGCCTGGCCGAGGGCTATGAGAAGCGCGTCAAGGAGGAGACGGAGCTCACCAAGGACCAGCTCAAGACCCGCTACGTCGGCAAGCTCGACCCCAAGAAGCATCTGGAGGACGTCGGCCAGCAGTTGATCGAGGACAACATCGTTTCCGTGTCGAGACAGATGATCGACAAGGAGGCGACGATGCCCAAAAAGGACGGTGCCAAGGGCCAATCAAACGGCGATTCGATGGACGTGGAGGAGGAGTTGTGAGTGGAAACGGGCCACAATTCGGGGGCGGTCCAGAGGCGGGATACCAGGACTTTACCGGAACTGTACGATTAGGCGTTTGGGTGGTTGGGAACGCAACGACTAGAGACCCCGCCAGGCATAAGACGAACGATTTTACAAAACCAATTGCATCGGATTGAAGAATAACCGCCGTGGTCGAGATGGTTATGGACGGTTCTTTGTTCATCAACAAGTCCCAGTTCTGATATTCCCCGCTCTTCTCTCGTGACTGACAATGGTCCAGAACAACGTAGAATCGCTACTATTACTCCATTGTCCAGAGACAGCGACAGTGCTCAGACTCAAGCAGTGGACGGGTATCTCTTAAGCTTTTACTTATATCGTGTACAGCACCAACTTGACCATGACAGAGACCAAATCAAATCGCGAAAAGCGTCACTGCAATCTTCGGCAACAAGCACTTCGTCAAGTACCCCTTCTCCGGAATCCCTCAGACGTCCACGGGATGCGACGTCGCCATCGTTCAAATACCCTCAGCCGTCTCTTTTGTCTCCCTCGTCTTCGGCGACCTAGCCAGGCCAGCGAAGATCATTCCACCAGATCTGCTACACAGTCTCCAGGCAACGACCGCGTGAAAACCTCAACCATCTCTCGCGCTGAGAAGATCAAAGCTTTCAGCCTGCTTCCGATCCCTCCATACTGGCGATACAAACGGCGCCCTCCTCTACCCTCACCCAGGTCTGACTACAGCTACCAAGCTTTCTTACTAGAGACCTCCACAATCATGCAATATGCTCCATCTATCGCAGACAGCCAGTACACCGATGTCTCTCTCCCTCCATCGCCGCCTCTTCGCATGTCCAAGTCAACCTTATTCGAAGTACTCCACCATATCGGGCATGCCTTCTCCCACGTGCAGTACGCCGTCTGCGGCACGGCCGCCATGGTGGCCTTCGACTTTGACAGACGCAAGCCCACGCACGTCAGCATCGTCTGCCCGTCCCACACTAGAGACGTGCTGGCTTCATGGGCTGTGGCCGGCGGCATGGCTTTGTACCCATCCAAGCCCAACGAGATTGGCGTCCCTGTTGACGGAGACACGTGGATGATCCAGGTCAAGTACCTCGAGACGGATGACAACCATAGATTCGAACGCCTGGACGCTTATCACTTCAATTTTGGGTGTGATGATGTTACCACGGCGGTCTTGACTCCGGCAGCTCAACTTGAACAGATTGCCCAGGTGTACATCAACCCGCGGTATAACCAGAGTTGGCGGTACAAGGAGAGGTTAGGGAGTGATGCCATCTGGCTACTCGAGCAGATGTGTAAGCAGGACGTGGACAGAGTCGGTATGGATTTGAGGCATGCGAACATCCCGACGATTAGGGACCAGAGGTTTTGGCTTGTGTTCACCACGGCGCACCCGGAGAGTATAGGGTTGTTTTACGATGCTGGGTTGAGAGATGAAGAGGAAGAGGTGAGTGGCAGCGGATGGGGAAACCGAGAGGAGTATGAACAGCAGCGTAAGCAAAACCATGCACATACGCAAGAGTATGAACAAGACCATGCGCACACGCAGGAGTTCGAGCAGTATGAGCAGGAGTACGCGCACGAGTATGAGCAGGAGTATGAGCGGGAGATTGAGCAAGAGTATGATCAGGATCAGGGCCCTGAGCAGGAGCAGGTACGAGTCCAATCGCCAGTGTCGCCGCATGATCCACCTCCAGAGCAACCCCGACACAGAAATGAGAGCGGGCGTTCGAGACGCAGATCATCTCGGGTCCGTTCCCGCTCCCGCACTCGCACCGACCATGGGCCTCGCCGCCGGCGACGACCCTCTGACCATGGGCCGATCTTGACCCGGGCGGAAGAGAGACGGGTTGCCATGGATAGAGCACGAGCTCGGGGCCAGGTCAGACGGCGCAGCTCGCAAGAGCCGAACAAGTTTTCTTTGAGCAGTGCTCTCGATAGCTTGCTTGTTGGTGGACATCGGGATGGGTACAGAAGATGATCGCTTGGTAAGTTCACTTGTTGACTTGTTGGAAGATGCGCGATTGGGAAATGCTTTTGACTGAAGTCGTCTGATTGTTTTACCTCTGATTGAGGTTTCGCTGTGTAAATGATTCTACAAAGGAGATGATTCCGAATCCCCTTTCTATTGTTTACGCCCGCCTTTGATCATCCTGTTCCTGTACATGATCCCCTTTCAGAAAACCCGCTTCGCTGGTATAACAAATGAAACAATCCCTTCCAGTACCCGCCGCCCTGATTCCCCGCGAATTGCTCCGCACATGTTCATCATCATCTATCCCGTCTATTATCCAATTACTGTCTTCCGTATCCGTGCTGGGTGTACTGCTGTCCGTATGTCTGCTGAGGGTATGCCGGCTGGTACGCCTGCTGCTGCGCATACTGCTGCTGTTGCTGCTGGTGCGTGTATCCCTGGGTCTGCTGTCCGTAGGCCGCGGTCGCGTACCTCTGCTCGTCGCCGTTCTTCCTCTGCTCGCGGCGCACCTCCTGGATCTGCACGCTCTCGACGCTCTGGTCCTCGCAGCGGCTCTCGAGGGGCGCGGCGTCGTGGCCCATGGCGCCGCGGCGGACGCCGTTCTTCTTGAAGTAGCGGAAGTCAAGCCAGGCGATGATGGTGGCGTAGCCGGCGATCATGGACAGCAGGATGCCGAGGACGACGACGACCCAGCCGATGGTGCAGGAGGTGCCGATGCAGGACTGCTGGGTTTGGGATTGGATGCCCATGTAGACGACGGCGGCCCAGAAGACGATCTCCATGGCGTTGAGGATGAGGTTGGCCTTGAGCGAGGCCCAGCGGTGGAGGGCGGGAACGTGTTCGGTGAGGACTTGGTAGAGGATGATGGCGAGCGACTTTGCGGACTGTGGGGAGGGAGAGTGTTAGTTGGGTGTTGGTTTGGGGGTGGGGATGGTGGGAGGAGGCTTACCATGCCCAGTGCCATCGTGCCTGATCTACCCCTGGGACGGTTCGGCATGAAGATGCGTGCTACTGAGAGACCGAGGGCCGCTGCTACGAGGAGGAGCTGGACCATGTGGATGGGGAACTTGAGTTTGCTGGAGAAGAGGGCGTTCATCTTGGCGGTGTTGGTGTTGGTGATGTTCGAAATGGGGTCAGGGTGGGTATCCTGTTGGTGTTGAGGGTATTCAAGATCGGTGATGTTCGGATATCAGACTCTTGCAAGGCAAATGGGAAAATTGGAAGATTTATGAATTAGAAATCTTGAGCCTTGAGTCTTGTAGACTGGGTTGAGTTGTTTTATCTTGAGTGTCTTGGTGTTCTTCCCAAAACATCAACCCATCGCCGGGCCTCACGGCCGTCTATATACCAAGACGAATTCCGCATTGCATCTTTCCACGTATTCGGTAGAGTTTGATACCGCAATTCCCATTACACCGGGCCTTTTCGCTCGTCAATCTCCAGGGAACAAGCACAGCCATCAGCCGCAGCCTCTTTTTCGGCGGGTTTGCGGGCTGGCTGGAACGGATCTTCTCACGCACAATTTGCTGTGGTTCTGTTTCGGTCTCGGTTTTTAGGGGGCGGGTTGGGCAATTGTGGTTATCTTACGCAGTAATACAAACAAGGCCAGACACTCACTGCGTTGGCGCTAATACTGGATAACGTGCTTGTTCTTCTCCCTGGCCCTGCACGAAGTGGGAACACAGCCCCAAAAATGGTCTCTTCGGTCTCGGTTTCCCACGCATAAGCCACCGGCCGAATTGATAGCACTAACATCTAAGCATACGCGTATCCACTGAATAGAGTTAACCCATGGATGGTCTTCTCCCCCTACTGACGGGTCTGCCCTTCATCGACTCATTCTTCGAATACTGAGATTTTTTCTCATGTCTGACGGGCTCCACAATTTCCCGCCCTGTCCGTCTGTCAGAACTTCACTGCCGCCTGCCAAGACGAGGTGACACGCCAGCAGCGCCAGCAGGCTAGGCCCAGGCTTCTGGAACGACCGCACACTCTCACACGCGCACCCCTGACGGGCCCCGTTTTCTGGGCTTTGGCGGGCAACAGATTGGCGCGGAGTATTATTTGGGACGATCTGGCGGGTCTGGTTGAGTCTGCCTCTGCATGGGATGGAAATGCGCCTTGCGCTCAGGTGTGGGGGATGAGAGGTTTCTGGTATTAGAGAAAGCGAGGTGCATGGGGACTGGACGCTAACAGATGAGTCTGAGGCTCGGTTTCGATGTTGATTGCTAGGAGATTATTGATAATCAGAAAGAGGCTTTCTGTTGAAGGATCCGGTTTTTAAGAAAATTTCTCCAGGATAATGTTGGCTTTGCCACGACGGACGGCCCCTATGTTTTTCTTTTCACTCCGAACCCTGCTGTTCTCGAAGGGGGTTGGCTCACGTACGAGAGCACGTCAGATTTTAGGTTGTCAACAATCAGGACTTTTCTTCTTATCTACTCGATTTTCAATGCTTCATACTTCCAGCCCGTCGAAAGTCTCTCGGTCGGCGTGGTCGGCGACCTTCCCTCTTCGTTGATGGCGTTCTGCGTTGTCAAGTACTCGCAGTGCCGTTTTCCGGACTATCCACAAGTTTCTCCTTTCGACCCCAGATGTTCGTTAGGCAGGGAAGATGCTTATTTGTAAGTTTAATGTTGCTAGCTGACTTTGAGGCTTGGTTACGCCTAGTCCAGACTGCTGAGTGGCAGTTCGGATGTTCGGATCAGGTATCATAAGTTCGGGGTTCCGAATCGTGAGTCTGGTGATCCCAATAGCGTCGACGGTGAGCTAGCAGCGAAGGCCTTAGGCTGAAGGTTCGAGGTATCGAGTAGGATGCAGTAAGATCCTGTAAGATCCGGTTCCTCGTTGTAAGCGGTAACGAGGTGCGCTAGCGCAACTTGTTAAATCTCAATATTTGACTAGCTCGAGCTTGTTACCCAACACCAATTCTCCCGGACTCCTTCCCCATCTTCGTTTGGGTATCAGAATTTAACGGTGGCGGTAGCAGATTTGCCCATGATCTTCCCTTATCAAATGCTTCTTCTCCCATGGCTGGGTAGACAGCTGATGTTCTTCGTAGTCCTCATAGCACTCTCGAATAGTTGTCGAACATTATGCTAATGTCTCAACAGACCAGCAGCCTGACCTCGCCGCCGTATTGCTCATAGTGGCCGCTGGGAATCATCGCCCAAAAATATCCGCTCCATCGGAACCAATCTTTGAGCGCAATAGATGCTGACATGGCAGTTATGCTCCAGAAGGTTGTCGGCTTCAGCAACTCCGCTCGCCGCCCGATAAACTTTAACGGTCGACCAGCAAGCACTTTTCATGACGGACCATCCTTCTTGTCCTTGGGACTCAGGTCCGTCGAATCATCGGCTTTCGGTTCACCCGACGACTCCCACACGATAGCTCCAAAATAATCACCCTGGCTCTGCCGATTGCTCCTGTCGGTATGCCGCCTCGGTGGCGGCTTCAGTGGCGTAGGCAGCTCTGGTTCGTGCCCCGGCGCCTCGAGCATGAGAAACTCGACGCCGTCATCGGTATCAACCCTCGTCAATGGCAAGGTCATCGTCATGGCTGCCTTCAACTCCTCTCGCGTCTTGAACGTATCCCGGGTCCTAAGCTCCGTCCGCGCTTCGTGGGCCTCGTCGATGTGTATCGCGGGCGGTATCGTTACCCCAGACAAGCTCCTAGCGTACTCGTCCACGACCCCAGGACTCTCCACATCCTCGATCGCGTGCTGCGACGCGTGAGAAACAGGTCGGGATCGCCTTTTCTGTGATGTGGTGGCGCCATCAGATTGTGTATACAATTCCGTGTCTGCGCTGTCTTCAAGATTTCTCTGCACGTAAGTCCGTTTGATCACTGGGCTTAGGCTCTGTGTGCCCAGCAACGGCCGCAGGGTCGGTATGCAGACGCATATGATGGCACAGCACAGTTCTGTTATCGACCATATGCCGGCAACGACGGTATTGTACGTTGGGTCAGTCGATGTCGCCGATTGTTTGAGCGTTGTAAGTCGTATGACAGATATCGCACACGTGCTGTCACAATCGTTAGCCAAGATCCAAACCACGTCGCCAACTAGACGTACAAGAAGCCGAGACCAAACGTCGCCATGAGAACAATCTTTTGTCTCAATGGCACGGCGAGCGTCCTCAGGAGAGGAACGGGCATCACGAAGATGATAATATCTGTAATCAAGTTTATCGCCGATCCAGCATACCACCAGTCCAGCAACTTGAAGCATTTGCCCTGAACTGAGAAGTCCCATAGGGCTCGTAATGGAACGCAGGCGAAGCAGAGCGACACCACCTGCGTGAACCCGAAAGTCATTATGAATATTAAAAATATGTTGCAAAGCTTTTGAAATGGCGGCAGAGGAAAAACTCGTCGGTACTGGAGGAGAAACGTGGATTTGATGAGGGGCATTGCCTGCATAGTGTTTAGTGATCATTCTTCTCCCAGGATGGTTCTTGTCCACCAGAAGCTCTGGTTGTGCAACTTACCGCTTGGTATACGGCGACAGCGGCGATAGCAATCTCTTGCGTTTTTAAGTAGTTTTCGCGCGTGAGAGTGACCTTATGGAGGCCGTCTCCGTAATGTGTGTTGATCAGCATCAACAGACCCGTTACGAATACAAGGACCTGCCAGTCCCGTCAGCATCGCTGTCCCAACCTAGAGCGAACATGAACCGTACGTATGAGAAAACAAGGGCAGTATCATCAGGCCCCCATCTTCTCAACCTCCACCTGCGGACGTATATCCTCAATGCGGTGACGACAGACGCCAAGAACAACGCAGTTAACGTAACCCCGATAACAAGCGGCTGTCTCGTTTCGCTCGCATTTACGGCCGGCAGTGTCGTGTTGGTCACTACGGGACTTCCGCCAATTTTCGGTACCGTCCCCATTGTCGTGGTGTCGTCGTCGGTTGGATCCATCGTTGTCCGCCTTCTTCCCCGCCCCCAGGGAACCCTCGCCCGCTGCGGGGCTCACGTTTTTCGAAGCCGAGAGCGATGTATTAACGGTCTGCTCGAGGGGTCGTCGTCACCGTTAGACCATCTCGTTACTTGTCATAAGGTAGAAGTGGTCTCCGGTTCATCTTCTCGTTGTGAAGCCAAGGATATGCGTCATCCACAAGCATTCACTAGAATCTGAAGACCGTCAGGAAAGAGTTGCTACTAGGTTATCGATGGATGAAAAGGCGCCCAGGGGAACAAATTGCTAGAAACCGGCACCGACCCGCCCCCACAGACATAGCCAGCAAGTGACCGGAGGGTGGTAACGTGTGTCCAGTGCTCGGCGAGATAGAGTTGCCGCTAGACGCAAAGTTGCCCATCCCTCCATCCCACGAGGTCTCAGAAGCGGAGCATGGACATTCTGACGATCCTTTCGTCTGCCCATGACTCGCATCAGGTTCATTTCCAGTTCCCCATGAGAGAATACATATCAGATTGGCATACCTGAAAGGTCACTGGGTTTCGACTACCCGGTCAGTTGTGAAGGGGAACATGCAAGGCAGTGTGGGATACCGCGTGTTGCCATCGCCGGTTCATGCGACTTCCAGACTCGTTCGGGCGAGACATCTCCCATGACCGGCTCCGAGAATCATCCCAAACTCACGATGGTTTCGTGCCTGAAAAGGTCCAGCCAACATTGGTCCAGTCGAAAGACAGCATCAAAGCCGTCCTAGCGTGCCAGCCTCCTTCGATACAGTAGCGCAAGCAAGAGACGACGATCAGTTTCTCTGGAGGATTCTGCCTTTGGCTAGGTTGTTTACTGGGTGTTTCGTGTGCAGAAGTATGCTTGCCGAGAATTCAAACCTAACATTCGATGACGTTCAATTGGCGATGAGATGCTTACCGCCAATGGGCGTCTTCGTCCGGAGGTTGGATAGGACGAAATCGTATTTTGTTTGAGTCCCACACCCACCCGAGCCCCGAACGGGCCTTCTCCGGTGCTCGGCCCCATCGGCTCCGCCTCCCCGGTGGGTTTAGCCGGGTGGGAGGCGAGTGACATGAAAGCTTGTGCGAGTCAGGTTGCAAGATGTGTCGTGTAGTTCGGGAAGTTCGGCGGTGACTACTTGATTTGGACAACCGTCGAAAGTGGCAGGTTGGCTGTTATGAATACGTGCCTGCGGGAACAACAAAAAACTTATTGTGAAGCCTGCGAGTCGTCCAACTTGATGAACTATTCGATCTCTTAGTTTGTCTCATGACACAAATTGTTTATTCTTAGGTCTGTATGTAACAAGTTCAGGACTTGAGGGAAATATCAGATAAGCTACATGGATAATGAAGGAGTCGTGTGCTGCTTCTTTTGTTCTGTAGCTGACTGCAATTATCTCCCCGAGTGAATATTGCAGCTTAAGACCTCCGATCTAATTCCGAACCCAGCCTCTTTTTCTCTGATACGCCAGGTTCTTTTCCAACAAGAGCATCATATGTTCAGTCATAGCTGCCTTTCCCTCATCTGCCTGCTCCTGTGTCCAGCGACCTTTGCCGGCCCTACTAAAGCGGTTTCCACGGTCGTACCATTCAAAAGATTTCTCATCAGGCATCAAAAGCTTGAGAATGTCATCCAGTGGCCTACCACTTTCTATCGCCTGAGATATCATAGGCCGGAAATCTTTGTACATGATCTCTGCGGTCATGCAGGCTCTATAAGTCCAGTTTTTGGATTTGGATTCTTCTGAAGGTGGACAAGCCCATGTGTTTGTAATAAGGTGCGTGTTGTAAACGTGTAGGGTTGTGAGCTTTTGGAGATTCGCCGAATCGGCTAAAAGCTTGGCAACCGAGAATGATTGAGTCCGATAAGTTCCATCACCACCGCTGTATCTGGGCGCCGAGAAGCCTAAGTCGAGAAAATTCTTAAATGTGATAGATCGCAGATAGCTCCGGTTTTCGGGGCCGATCTTCTGAAGCCAGTCTAAGAGACATCCCATCTTACCTCCGGACCCATAAGGACAACCAAGAGGTGGCTGAATTACGAAAAAGTCTCTCGAGTATAGAAATTTGGTGGCTTCCTCGTGCAATGCCTTGCCACTTCTCAAAAGAGAAGCAGTCGGGCAAAAGGAACCGGGCATCATGACATATTCTTTGTTGATGCTGGCCACAACTGTTAGTTTCTTCTAGCACGCAACGTCCCATGAAACAACATTTACCAGCAGCCTTCCTTTTCATACCCCTCTATGACGAGGTGATTGACGAAAATCAGTTCGTAGATCATGTATCTCAACTCTATAGGAAGTTTTCTAGTGAGGTGAGTCAAGACATTGGATATGGCAATTGAGGTAGGTGGCTGAAGACTTACAACAATGGGAATGGGCGAGCCTGGGTGTACTTTGAATCATCTGGCTTTGTTGTGTGTGAGTTGTTGCGCAGCAGCAATACCGAGCAGGCGACGGAAAGACGAAATCGAGCGGCAATGGAAGGGTCTCGGAAATGCTAATTCCCAAGATGAAAATTGGAAACTACTTTACCTCCTTTGTTGATTCAGCATTGGTCAAGTATCCTAGCTGTTGAAGACTCTTTCTTTCCAACTTCGACGTTGGTTTGTAGAGGTTCAGATCGTCGTCATCGGCTTTCTTCTTAACTGGTAAAGGCTGGTTTGGAGGTGTCAGCCCAAGCAGCCTACGGCTGCGTCGAGGCATGACGAAGAATTCTGGTTAGTTGACTGCTGCAGAGCGCTTCTTGTGGTGATGTGTCGAAAAATCAAATTCACAACGGGTGAAAAAGTCATTCGAGGCCACAAGTGACAAGAAAATTTGAAAATCCATTCACCTTGAGAGGTCACTTCGTTGTCTTGATTTCTACTGTCTTGTTTCAAGCCCTAACTATCAAGGTTTTCGATTCACGAGGCAACTTGGGATTGGACCGGGGATTGTCATATGCGCGTGCTTTTGGCCAGGAACTTGAATTGCCCTTGTCTAATATCGACGACGGTTTGCCAAAGGTAGAAGAAGCCCTTTCTAATCACCTAGAGATCTTGCAACTTCTACCATGTTGTAATTCTTTACTCTTCTCATCAAGTTAATCGTGTCATTCTCACAGCAAAGCAGAGTTTTCCAGCATTGTGTACTCCAACTATCGGCAAAGTTGCGGAAAGCAAAAGCCTGTAATAAGGTCGCGCTACTCTTACAATCGAAAGCCGTGCGCTGCCCAAAAGAATCGAAGAAACCAACAAGTAGTCTTTTCGCCCATTTCGAACTACGTATGCCTGCCTCGACCCTGTCACCTAAGATAGGTTGCGACTTTCCTTTCTCCGATACAACACGTTTCTCTTCAGCAGACTCATCATGTGTTCAACCATTGCCGCTTTGGCCTCCTTGACCTGTTCTTCTGTGCACTCGTGCATCTCCTTTCCACGTTCTGTCGTATAAAAGCGAAAAGACTCATCGCATGGTGCCAGAATCTTGGAAATGTCCTCAAACGGCCTGCCATTGGTTATCGCGCGCGAGATCAATGGTCGAAAGTCATCGTAAAGTAGTTCTGCAACCTTGCAGGCTTCCCGAGTCCAATGCTTGGACTCGGACTCGTCGGTAGGCGGGTGACTTAAACGGACGCCGGTGGTGTCAAATCGATATGGAGTTGTTAACTTCTGGAGTTGCGTCGATTCGACGAGAAGTCTTCCGATTTTTCCCAAATACTCCCGATGAAGATCGTGCTTGACATCCCTGGGCGGAAATTCGAAAAAACAGCTCAAAGACAGGGATCGGAGGTTGCTTCGGTTCAGAGGACCGATTCTCTTCAGCCAGGCGCAGCACAACGACATGGGCCTCCGTGGGTCCTGAACAACCAGCTTTCTCGAGTACAAAAGGTTGGCAGCTTCTAAATGAATCGCCTGACAAGTCCTAAGAATAGAGACTGTTGGTCCGTCCCGGGGCTGTTCATTTTCTTGTCGGCGAATCTTGTTGATACTAGTCCCGCGTTTTAGCTGTCTGCGGTCCATCTCTGCGAGTCTTTTAAGTGCGCTTACCGGCAGCCCTCCCGGAGGCCATCTACTATGAGTGGCTCAACAAGAACGAGGTGGTATATCATAAGCCGCAGTTCAAAAGGAAGTTTTCTGCTGCCGTCAGCACAAACAACCGAATGGTTTGCGCACTCTGGAGCCTTACAGAAATGGAAATGGGCTCGCAACAACTTTTTGAGGTTGAGCTTTCTGCAATCGATACAACGTATTAGTGACCGCTTCACAGAAGAACAAGAGAGCTATTGAACACGAATAGGAGAAAATTAGGCGAAAATGCTGTAGAAGCCTCGTGTATCACGGAAGGGAACTATGCCTCACCCTTGAAGATCGCCGAGGATGATGCGAAGCTGCCTTTTTAGGCGCCCTGCCGCTCCGTCGTGGCATTCTTAGAACGCTTCTTGGTGTCACTACCGGAAATTTTGATGATGAAGGTAAAAGAATCATTGATCCATCATGGTTGAGCTGCTCATCAAATCCGGCCTTGGATGGTGAGAAAGGTGCGCCACTGACCGCAACACCTTGAGGGACAACACCTTCCTGTGTAGGGGCAAAATCAAGGTTTTCGATGAGAGTCGCGATAGCCACGGACATGACTTGCGTGCTGAACCTCAACTTACCAATTTCTATTTTTGAATGCTCACCGCGAAAGTTAAGCGAAGTTTGAAATAGACAACAACACACGCAGTGGAATAGCACATATGGGATAGAGAGCAAAACTGGAAATATGCGACGAATGCTTCAATTACCGTAAGTTTTATCCCCAAGCTACTAGGTATGTGCAATTCGAGAGTGACCATGCTTCAGCGTACAAAAGCCATCTGGGGCAACGCGCTGTTACGGAATGACCGTCAACCTGAAATGTACCGCTCAACCAACAACTTCATATGACGAGCGACCTCTTGCTCCGGCTCCCCGTTTATGACATAATGATAGAGGGCAATGTATTCGAAATTCTTTGGATGAATCTTGGGCAAGTTCGCCACTTGAACTGAGGTCTTGCCAAGAGACTTGGTCTTCTCCAAGAGGGGCAAGAAATCGCTGAACACCATCTCAGCAAGAAGACGTGACTCCACTTCCCAGCGTGTGGGGTTGCCTGTGGTCTTGATCAAGGCTGTGTTGCGGTGCTTCGTGGTATATCGGAAGCCCAAATCCAAACTTTCAAGATTTTCGCAGTCGCGAAGAAGTCTAGCAACTCGTCGCGAAGTTGCCCTGTAGTCATTCTGGTTCCACCGCGGGAAGGTTCCAAGTTGGTGATGTTGGCGAGCACCAGATGCTTGGAAAGACCGCGACAGCTTGATTGCGCGTATGTTGGCGGCTCTCGGTCCGATTCGTTGCAGCCAGATGTCAAGGTACTCCATGTCCTCGATTTCGAACGTGGTTGAGTAAAGCATAGCTCTGGCATCGGCGTGGACCGTCTTGCAGGTCCGCAGTAGAGAGCCATAGACACGACAATCTGGATTTTGTCGAAGGCGCTTGTCGGAGCGATCCCAATAGATAGTAATCTGGCTCCGTGCGAGAGCTAGGTCATAGACCATGTTACGTATCTCAGGTGGCAGTTCTCTGGCAGTTCTTTGTCAGCTTCAGCCCACCTTGAATAGTCGAAGTGGATACTTGCAGAAAACCTTTCTTGGTGTGGAATACTTTTGCTCTCTTGTCGAAGTGAATGAGTTAGCATGTGGTTCGAAGGTCAAGCATGAGACAGTTTACACGTGGATGAGAAGAGGGGAGTTGGTTCTGATCGTGCTTGAAAGATGCGAGTCGATAAAAAGTCAAATTCGCCAGTAGTACCTTGCTGCGTAAGTTGTAGCGGCCATTATCAACGCTGGGTAAGGCATCATGTGGTCTTCTGCGAGATTGTTGACCGGAAACACTTTGCGAAGCCATGATGATACGTAGGAAGATTGCTTCGTGGTGGTACCTTGAGGTTTGGATGCACTTTGCTCGAAAGAATGTCCAGCAAGTTGGTCAACTGGAATAGTTTAAAAGCCACATATCTCACTATTTTCTGCCTTTTGGAAAGGGCTAGAAACAGTCTATCTGAACATTGTATCAGCGCATTCGTGGAAGTGAAGATATCTTGATCGCACCTCGTGTTTCATTTCCAGTCAAAGCCGACGTCCCTCTCAGACATTGTCATCTCCTTCCACCCAGATAAAGAAATATCCTTCCACTGCAAGGCATCCACAGTGATTGTGCCCTTGAACGAACGACAGTCGTTTCCAGAAAATACGACATATCCCCTGCCCGTTTCACTTCCTTCCGGATTAGACTTGGCCATGCTCGATTCCGCATTCGATTTCACCTGACCCTTCCACTGGAACCAGAATTTGGGTGACCTGAAGCTATTCTTCTCGAAACTTTCGAATCTTCTCTTCTCCTTGGTTTCAGTCTCCGAGACAACTGCGTTGTCGTCGCTTTCCACATCTTGCTCCACGTCTGAAGCACCGGACTCAACTTCGTTTTCTACCCGATCTCCAGGCTCATCCTCAATTTCTGATTCCGATGTGATGTCATCCCTAGACTCGAGGCCGGAAACCAGCTCTTCGAGAGTCTTCCTACTTCCGGTCATGACCAGGCTTGCGTCGAGGACACCAGGCAAACATAGTCTTCCCAGCAAGCCACGGCCATCATCTGAAAGGCGGAATATCTCAATAGTGGGTAGAAGAGCTTGCCCTTTATTCTTGGCCGTGTTGATCTGATCGCCAATTCTTTTCGCGTTGGCGCATTTTACTTCGTATCTTCCGAATGTTCGTTTTACTTCGAATGCCCCGCCGCCTCGACGCCCCCGGCCTCTACCAGCTTTGGATTTGCCAACTCGGTTGTGGACGTGTCTCGTCGAAAATGCCGCGTCCTGCCAGTCGTCCATGTTCGAGATAATGCAGGCTTCTTGATGCTGGTTTTTTGATCGGTGTATGCACGTGGTAGGAATAGGTCTTGGCTGCGAAGAAGAATCTTCGTCAACGCTCCCCTTCTCCTAGTGAAATTGAGCTGAGCAGTCTTGACGTCATCTGTTTCTTAGACACTAAGAGCGGCATCTTAGCGATCAAACCTCGCCTTGCAAAAGTGGCCGAAGCGTAAAAGATTAATGGGTCTCTGAATACTTGGGATTTGGACGGCGGCTTGTTCGACTTGCACACATCTGTCTACCCACGCCTGCGTCCGTCCTCTCCCGCTCCAACAGCCTTTGCTTCTCCCGACTTAACACGTTTTCATTGAAGCAGCAACTGACGAGATGAGGCAAATCGAATTTGCTCTTCCTTTGAAGTTTGAAGTTGGCGACAGGAGATGGTAATTACGTTTGTCGTGAAGCAGTTGATTGGTGTTTGGTTCACTCCTTTCTCGGGCTGAGCCCTGTTCAAGAGCGATGACGTCATACGACGGTGTTCAACTTTCGACCGCGAGTCTGACTGCTGTAAATCCAGCGTGCTTACTTTCTGAGAGGGAGCACAACGATCATTTTGCCTCTGGAGATTGAATCATTTTCTGTAATCAATAACGGTGTGATGCAACACCCCGTTGTCTCTAGGCAATCTTGTGGACAGCTTCCAGCTAAGCATGAACATCTAGAACGACTTGGTGATGGAACCAAGTATCGAAACTTCCAAACATGTCGTCGAAAAGAGTTCGGTCGACCAGAGTCTAGATGTTTCCAAAGTCAAAATGGCGCCCCGTCAAACATCAAACGTAACCACCGGATCGAAGTCAAAGCCAACCAGCCCCACGATCTGGCGGGCTGAGCCGGCTACAACGTCGCGGCGCCCACCAGCGCTAGCAATCCGAAAAGTCTCAGCCGGGCTGTCCCCGGACCGTCAGTGCACCTGTTACATCAGAGTCGCACAAAATGACCGTAGAAAGGGCGAACTGGCAGTGTTCTGATGGGATGGTCTAGAACACCGAGCAGCGAAATAACCTGCTTCCGACCCCTGTCAAGAGCTCCCCGCAGTGAGATGCCTGAGCTCCTCCGTCGAGTGTGACGTCAAGGGGCTACGAATGTGTGCCGAAAGCATGACCCCGCAGCGCCAATCACATCCGCCCAACGACAACCGGGATTTCCTGTTTTTGGAGCTGGAGTCGTCACTGGAGGCCAGAGCTCTGGGCGATGTCATAAAGGCGATCGAGCCCCGGCTGCGCGAGCGCTGTGTCAAACTTTTCTCACACGACTGAACCCCGCGATAGAAAAAAAAGAGACAATTTTATTGCCATTGCCAAATACACCAAGACTACACGAGAAAGCCACGTAAACATACATCAACATGGGCGACGAGAACGAGTCGAAGTCGGGATCCATCTACTCCCGCAACAAGGAAGACACCATCGAGGCCGAGACGCTTCTTTGGCGTGCGATGTGCGACAACAAGCCCAAGGCCCTCCGCAAGTACCTCGACAAGGACGCCGTCCTCTCCCACCCGGGCGACAAGGTCTACTCACCGAAATCAAAGCCCACCCTGCAAGAGCACCTTGACGACTGGGAGCCTTGGACGGCGTACCGCATCCAAGACGACCCCGAGTTCGTCGAGATCGACCTGATGAGCTCAAGTCTGGTCTACAAAGTCACCGCATGGCGCCAGAAGGGCAAGAAGCTGGTTGCGACCGAGGGCATCTGCAACAGTGTATGGAAGCAGGAGCCTGGCGGCGAGTGGACATGCTGCTGCCACCACATGAGTCTTATCTGATCGAGGATGAATAAGAGGAACGGACGATTGGCGTGAACAGCTGACGATGCATGGACGTGTAAGAGGGATGGAGACCGGCGTTTTGTAAGACTAGCGACATGGCTCGCGGGCGCTTGATGATTTTCGGTTTATTAGTTAGTCTAAGGTACAGCCCTTTAATGAACTTGCAATGAGAACGAAGCCCGAACCGAGCTGCAGGCGGGAGAATCTGTGGATGCGGCCATGCACAAGAAACGCATCAATCGATTGTGACTTGTACTTACATGCTGTTAGGGCGTCTTCCTCAGCAGGGGCCAGACCGGCAGGCTTCACTCTATACGTCAAGGCGGGACAACGACCGAGCGCTATCAACCTGTACTATATAGGGTTTGTGTTTGTTGTGGTTGCCGAGGCCTAGATGACCAAACTACCCGCAAGGTTCATGAACTTTGCGTGGAATATGTCTACAGGGTAGCGGGACAGAAGTAGGTAATTGACAAAGGAGGGAAGGGTGCTGGCGGACAGGTGATGGTTTGGAGGTAGGTAAGGGGAGATTGAAGGACGAAGGTAAACATTACAAATGAGGACAACGTATGGGATAGCCCAATCTAAATACGAACAACACAGAATTGCGTCTCCAGCCCACTTGGGCTTAGCATCCTCGCAATGGAGGAAGTTCCCAGGTAACACCGCGGGGAGGTTTGGAGTCCGTCTTCGTTACCCAAAGAAGTAGTGATAGGCTCACCGGGGCCATAGCGGAAGCTGAGGAGGAAGGCTCAGCCAGGAGGGGGAGTTCGGGGAGAGAGTGAGGTAGATTTGTTTTGTTTTGTTTTGTTTTGTTTCTGTTTTGTTTCTGTTTTTTGCTTTGTTTCTGTTTTTTTGCTTTGTTTCTGCTTTTTGCCTTGTTTGTTCTTTTGTACTTGTATGTATTTGTTTCTGGGGTTTGCTGCTCTTGGCTTCTTTTTTTCTTCTTGGAACAAACAGAGAAGGAGATTGAAGGGAGAGAGAAGGAGGTGGAAGGGACAGCGCGACGTGGGAATAAATGACAACAGATAGCAATGAATAAGAAAAGACATTGGAAGGAATGGCAGTAAGTTATAGAACTTATAGATACGAAGAAGATAGGTAAAGTAGGAAGAAATGGCAGTAAATAGTAAGAAGTGAAAATAAATAGTAGCAAATAGCAGTAGATGTGAAACAGAGATGTAGAAAGAAATATCAAGAGATTTTAAGACATGAGAAATAGCAGTAGACAGTAATAAATGGCAGTAGATTGTAAGACTGGCAGTAAATGGTAAAATATAGAGAGACGTGAAAGAAGCGGCGGTAGATGGTACCTTAAGATATGGCAGTAGATGTGAAGAAGAGAAGTAGAAATAGATAGCAGGAAATGTGAAGAAGAGTTGAGAAATAGCAGTAGATGGTAAGAAGTAGCAGCAGATAGTAATATAGATGAAGAGACGCGTGAGAGAAGTCGGAGGGAGTTGGGAGGTAAGGAGGTAGGGAGGTAGAGAGGGTGGATAAGTATGTTGAGCAAGGATGTTGAGTAAGAATGATGGAGAAATTGGAAGGGAAGTGGGAGTGAGTGAGGCAGGGTTTATATATATTCTGGGAGAGGGGGGGAATGACATGACAGGCGTAGAGGTAGCAGAGACGAAACGAAGGGTTGGCGGGATTGGGATGAGGTAAGGACAAGGTTCAAGAGATGAAGGGATGGCAGGACGGAAAGGTGAAAAATCTGCAATTGTAAAATCGGAAGAAGAGACGGAAAGTTGAAAAGACAGAAGGGTTGAAAAGGGGATTTGCGTTTCCGGCCCACTTGGGCTTAGCATTCACCGAAGAAAAGGTTACCAGGCAATATCACGGTGTGGTTGAAGTCCGGCTCCATCGCCATAAGAAGTAGTATTGTGACACACCGAAAAGCCATGGGTAACCATAGGACGGCCCTTTTGGCTTTGGGGTTCTATGGCTTTCTGACCTTTTTTGTGGTTATTGCGTTTTGGGAGTGACACGCGGTTGGACATCGGCCAGTTCTATTCCATTTAATTGGTCGGATTTGAACGAAACACAAAATCACCCGCCGTGAGGAAGAGTGCCGTTGAATGATCTTACAAATCAGTTGTCTTCCGGAGGGCTGGTCCGAGAAACCCAGGGAAACTACGTTTTTGTGAGTGCCGTTACGGTGGCGTTGTCCATTCATCGCGTAAACTACGAACCTGTCATCTGCTTCAAAGTCGCTTAGTTTGGTCATGCCAATTGACAATTCATGGGCAAGGCTGAAAGTTTGATTTGGAGCGGCCTGGGCCTTGTTTTGGCAAAGCCACGTGGAACCTGAAAGATTTATCCACAATCTGGACGTGTCTGTTCAGCCTGCATGGTTTTCTGGTATGTGTTCGATGTCCGCTCGCTGGGCAATACGGTTTACTCGCTACCTGGATGATTAGCATAGAACCCAAAGGAAACTTTGGAACTTGACTGGGGGCCTATTCAGACTTAAGTCGGCACTTGAATGGTCTCTGCATCGAGCCTTCGTGCCGGACATCTTAAATCTAGTAGTCTCGGAAACTCAGAGGTCACCCTGATATGTACTTGACTCACTCATGCGCTAGCTCATGTTACCTTGGGCAAGAACGTCACTTGAGGGGGAACACACCGGAATGCTTGGTCCACTCCCTGGCAGCTTGGTCTATCAGATGACACCAAGGTTGGGAAGCGGACTACGCAACCTTTTGGCCAAGGGTTGGTAAACGTGGTTGATATCAACCTTGCTTGATAACTGCAGCCAGGAACAGGTGGGTCGATGGCTTCTGTGCCTGGAACTTAGTTGAGTCTATTTTTCAACTTCATCTTGACAACGGAATGATGCCTGTTTCTACACCGAGATTTCACTGCAGCTGACGGGGACGCAGAACTCTAAGCACGCTGCCTTAATCTGTGAAGAGCCTGCTAGAATGCTCTGGAGGTGCCAGACAGGTTATCATCAGGGCCATGTTATATTTCTAATCAGCGCCTACTAGCACACTCTTGCCAAATGACGACGCCAAACTGTGTATGGCATGAAAGTGTCCTACTCGAGGATACCGAGTCCGTATCCATCCGCCCCTTTCTTATCTTTGTGTCCATTAAGGCCAACAATGTCCCCATCCGATTTCCGCTTGTTAGAAGACCTCTCACCTAGGACTTGAACGTCAGGTCCATCATCACTGACCAACTCAGGTTTCCACCCTGTACCATTGCCAGGGTTGCTCACACCCGCCGGGGTTGTCTCCGTGATGTGCGGGCCCCTCTGGCAACCCTCGACGTTCCCATTCCTCTCGCAGCAACTCCACTTGAAGCCATCGGGCTTGTCTTCTTTCCAGCACGGGTCATCCTCCAACTGTTCCCAATCGTGCTCGTCCCAGATGTCAATCGAATCCCATTCTTTACTAGACTCATCGAGTTCAAACTTTCCTGCAAAATATTGTAAGTCGAGATCATTCGCGCTCGCTGAAAGATTACGTACCTGAATGGTATTTACAAGCATCGGGGTCTTGCTTATCGCTTTCAACTCGCTCGTGACATCGGCTGCAAACCAAGCTCGCATGTTTCGCAGACCCGCCAGTCCTTGTCATGGTCGAAATTTTCGCCTGACTTCCAAGAAGTTGCCGTGCCATCTCAACGGCCTTTTTCCTGGTCTCCCGCTCCCCACAAAGCGAGATCAGGACCGTTCGCGCCATGCCTTCGGGCATACCCCTGATGACGTCTAGTTCCTGATCCACACTTCCATCCTGGAAAATTGGCATCGCGTCTGTCCCACAGTCGTCACCGCGCTGCGTAAGATCTGAAAAGCAAGTCTGATAGTAACGAGAACCTGTCTCGGAAACAAGGTGGTATGTCTGCGACGACGAAGCGCGTTGGAGAAGAAAGTTTGACGCGTTAGGGAGAGGCCCACCCCGCGACTGTCGGAAATAGCGACTTTTTGGAGGGGAGGCTCGACAACGTTGCTTTTTCCTGACTTTCTTGGGGAAAGTCAGGGGGTCTCACCACGACGCAACTCTGCTGACATAATTGCCTTCAATTGGCTTCCTGCAAATGGCTGCCCTATCGCTGAATTGATGTCATCATCTGGCAGACTCTGTTTTGTGATGGTGATACCAGACGACGGGGAATATTGACTGCAATGCTTCAGCTTAGGTATACGGGACTTACAAGGCAGTTTGCAAGCGATGAAGTCCGGATGTCTGCGGGGAGAAAAGTGTCCCAGCGGTGGCTAGCGTCTGAAGTCGAATATCATACAATTTATCTCAATTGAAGCGCAGCTAATGAAACAATGGATATGTCACACCTAATACAAGTACCTTCGACTCTCCTAGCCAGTATGACTGTGAGAGCCCACAGCCGCCGCAGGAATCTGGTTTACCAGGCGCCTCTTCCCCAAGACTTTTTGGCAGGGACCGAGACATCAAAATTGTCATCAGCTTTGCGCTTGTTAACCACTTGTCTTTCTCCCACGACGACGACTTCCGGGTCCTCGCCCTTCTCCTCTTTAGTTTCGTCCTCTTCATCCTCGTCCTCTTCATCCTCGTCCTCTTCATCCTCGTCCTCTTCATCCTCGTCTTCTTCATCTTCGTTGTCATCATCTTCCCCTTCGTGACTCTCGCACTGATCCGCCGAGATGCCGTACTTTCCCCCAAATTGATCAGATCGGTGTGAGCCCCGGTGGCACCCTTCTGCGTCTCCAGTCTGGCCGCAGCAATCCCATCTAAAGCCGTCAGGGAACGCCTCACGCATCTCATCAGTATCAATTTTACCGTGACAGTCTTCATCATGGTCCGCCCAAAAGTCACCCTCATCGTCGACCTCCAGATAGCCTGTTCGCATAGTCACGTTAGTACCCCTGGATTCGAACAGGCGTCTTCGAGGGAATCCACGAACCTGGGTGATAGAAGCAGTCACGCGGACCAGAAGTATTGGGGTCAAATGCTTCACGACATTCAACACATATGGCAAGCGGTCGGGCTGGCTTGGCGGATGCCTGCACTTGCCTAAGGGTCTCCTGGTGCTTCAATTTTCTCGCGAGGTCGAGCACTTTGGCCTTGGTTTTCCTTTCTTGACACAGGGCGTGGAGAATAGCACGCGCATGCTCCAACGACAAATTGGAGACCTCGTTGGACTGCGGTGTCCATGGTGTGGCCATATCTGCGTTGTTCGACTCCAGGGCTTTCAAAGCTCTAGATCACATTCAAGCGTGTCTGGCAGCAACGGCCCCCTAATCAGCCGCTTAGCTACATCCATCCGTCAGTACATGCACATTCAATCTGACAAGTGACGTAAGACGAGAAGTAGCGGTATACCTTAATTGTTGTCTGAAAAGGTCTAGACGCAACGTCGGATGGACAGGAACGCACCAGACTTCTCGACATGTATGGAGGCCGTGACTTGTTGGTGACACGAAAGAGAGGTGAACAGGGGGAAACAAGACTCCACCGCGGCAAACCTTCAACGCGCTTCCGCGAGCATCTTTACGCGTCCCCCTTAGTCCCACACACCAATCAACATGATTGGAACCACTTAGGCATTGATTGACCACTGCCCGACGGAAATAGCAGCAAGAAAAGGAACTATCCGTCGGAGCATTCATCCAACTCCAGCAGCACACGCTCTCTCTCTCTTCTCACCTCATCCTTTCCGCCCGTTGGGCTTTTCCCCTTCCCAGCGCCGATCAGGGTTCGTCCTCCCCGGGGAGGCACGGAACCGGCATCCGGCCCATGCACAATCGGACCCCCGTCCCCTAGAACCCATTGGACGCACGAACAGACAGCATGCAAAGTGCCTTGCGCCCCCGTTCTCTTTACCGCCCAACCGGCCCTGTGAGCATGCGTGTCGCTCGCCTGGCATGCCGCGGGGAGGGGAGCAGCAGGCAGGGCCGGGGTCGGTCGGCGGTGGTGGTGGGCAGCACACATCTATCCGTACGGCGACACAACAGGGCCAGCTGCCCATCAGCTTTTCCCGCCGAACCCCATTGGCCGCCCCCGATGTGTCTTATGCTAGGCTGCTTACGGTGTCCCTTGCAGAGTGCGCGCTGCAGATGATATCGCATTCTGACTGGGAGAGCACACCAGGGAAATCCGGAAGAGGGTAACAAGTCCATCCCATCCCATCTCACCACATGTGTGCGTGTGCGTGAAAAATGCGGAATCCATGCATGGGTCAAGTCGGGCATGCATCTCGCCACCGCCTTTGGGAATCTCGATTTGCATTTGCAACGCTGTCAAAAGTGCGGTCGCTGCCGCTGGCTGTGCTTTAATCTGTGGGAGACGAGGCAACTGGGTTGCCTCGTGCCGGCAGAGTTTCTGCCATCGGTTGATCAGCTCATTTTCTTCCCCTGCCAGAGTGTTCAAACTTCAATGTGTGCCCGGTTCTTGTGTAACACGCAATCGGGCTGCCCCGTTGATCAATTTACGTCTCTGGCCTCTCCTTTCGTTTTGTTGTTCGAATCATAAGGTACAATGACTTGCTTTGCCTCCCATCCCATGACCATAATGCCCGCTTCCCATGCCCTCCCCCAGGTGAGAGTTCTGTGCCACACTAAAAATCATGTGCTGTGCCGTATGCGCAGTGTCGTGCTCGAAATCGGCTTCCCGCTGTGCTGAGAATGACTGACTCCCCGCTCCCCCCTCCCAAAAAAGAGGTGACCAACTGACAAAAGTCCAAGTAAATTCCAAAATGGCTGTTTGCGTTGTGTGTGTGCATGTATGCGTGTGTTGCCTCTCCCCCTTTCCCAACACCCAGAGCTGTGTCTGTGTCTGTGTTCCCCATCATCAACAAGGCCACTTGTGTGTGTGTGCCCATTTTGTGAACAAATTCCCAATGCTGTGCCTCCCAGTGAAGGAAAGGAAAAAAATCATTAAAAACCATGTGTCGTCTGTCGCTGCTCCCCCCAACACAACAAGTGCCCAATGCCCTTGCCAACAACAATAAAGCCCATCATCTCGCGTATCTGGGCTGTGACCTTTGACCGACCAGACCGCAGCGCCGCGGAAGGGACCGGGAACCATCCGATTGCTCGAAACAAGAACCACGCCCAAAAAATACGGATTTTTCCCCTTGACCGGTCTATCAAACTCGGATCCAAGAGAGCGAAGTGCGCTCGAGCAAGAACTTTTTTCCTTTGGTCTCTTCCCTCTTTTTTTTTCGTGCCGTGCCGTCCCGTGCCCGCCCCCTGATTGCGTGTTGGGCGACAACCGAGAAAGAAACACCAAACTAAAAACAGATCCAAACAACTCTTTTTCAACGTCATTGGAAAAAAGTCCAAACGGGATGGTGTTCCCGTCAATGCCGCCCGTTGGCTGGCGAGTGCTGCTGCGGTTGCTGCTGCTGCTGCTGCTGATGGTGATGATGCATGTCGTCGTGGTTGCTGCTCCCGGGCGAGTGCTCCGAGGAGTCGCCGTCATCGTCATCATCGTCGTCGTCGTCATCTAACGATGTGTCGTCGAGATCCAGCGAATCCTCGTCGAGGTCCGAGAAGTCTCCGCGCCCCTTCTTGCTCCTGTCCGGGTTGGACTCGTGGCGGCCGGGCGTGCAGCCGCGTGCCTTGCCCGTCTTCCGGCAGCAACACCACCGAAACGCCTCCGGGTGTCTGGCGCGGATGGGCTCCGTGTCCAGATCGTACAGCGCCATTTCCGCCGGCTCACGGTCGATGGCGCTCTCATCCATTAGTTCCAGCTCGCCTAGACGAGTCATGGTTAGTTCAGGTAACCGATAAAGCTCACTATCCCATCCCAACCCCCGAAAACCCCATCAAAAAAAGACAAGCAATACGGCAGTGACGAAAATAGCAGCTGTCTTGATGACAAAGTGAGCAGGAAAAAAAAAAGAGAAAGAGAAAGAGGAAACCGGGACTGTTCTCTTACCAGAATGGTACCAGCAAGCGCCTAGTTGGTTCTGGTCTTCGGTGAAGATCTCATCGCACTGGAGACAGATCTTTGGTTCCCCGACGGCTTTCCTCTTGGTTGAGCCCATTGTGGTGGTGATGGCGCTGGCGTTGCGGATGATCTCCTGTCCGCAGAGTTGCTGCTCGTAGTGCATGAGCCTGTAGTAGTTCCGCAGGGCCTTCTCCCGCGTGCTCGCGTCCACGCACAGGGCCACCAGGATGGTGCGTGCAGTGTTGCCGGACGCCCCTTCGAGCGGTTCGATGCCCGAGTCGAAGAGCGGCGGTTCGATTGTTGTTGACGTTGCTGCGATGTCCATTGCCGTTGACATGGCGCCACCCTGTGGAGGGTAAGCTCGAGGCTTTGGTGGTTTATGGGGAGGGTTTGATTTTCTGGGGGAAGAGATATTTGAGGCTCCTCGGCTCTTTTTGGGGGGTTATTTCTGGGTTCTGGGTTCAGTCGCCGGAAGCCCTTCCCCGGATGTGTCAGCTCACGGATGCATTAGCCAGGGAAAAAAATAAAGAGGTGTCTTCAAGGGGGGTGGAGGCGTTGGGGATGCGGATGGTACGGCCGGCGGTAGTGTAGTATAGAGATAAATGGGCAGCAGGCGGGAAGGGTGGCAGACTGGGGATGCGCGGCTGCGTGAGTGGTGGACGGAGGGCGGGTTGTTGAACGTGGATAAGACGGAACGGAAGCAACTGGGTAAAAGAGGACAGAAGTGGGAAGATGAGTGGACAGTCTGACGGGCGGGCGAACAGAAAGCGAACAAGACGGGAGTGAGTGGAAGTGTTCAATGAGAGTCAGAAGGCTTCCCCCGTCCGTACCGATATGCGACAACAGATACGGCGGCTGGGACGGACGGCCCCTCTGGCCCTTTTTCTGCCGGCCGGCCCCTGGGGGGGCGAGACCAACAAAAGACTTGTTTGATGGGGCCTTTGTTATGGAGCAATTAACGGAGTACGGAGCATGAACTGGGAAGGGGTGGAAAGGGTCTGGTCTGGTTGGATGGGGTGGTGGGAGGGAAGAAAGGCAGGCTGCTGGATGGCTGGCTGAGGTGAGGTGACGAGACGAGACGAGATGGAGGGGAGGGGCCCGGCCGGGGAGAGAATCACGCAGACTCCAGCGTTCCATGGTGGCAGCATGTGCATTGCCGGGACGGAGGAGATGGGGATGGGTTGATGGGGGTGGTCTTTTTTGGTGTGTGTGGATGATCCACGACGACGGCCGACCGGCGTCTGTTCATGACTTCACGGAAAGTGAGAGAACTGGGACCGCCATCCCAGCAAATAGGAAAGCAGCAGCAGGAGCAGCATTGCGAGCATGGGGAAAGAGAGCGAGCAACGGGGACGGCAACGGCAGCGGCAGCAAGAAGCAGCAGCCAGCATTGCAGCAGCAGCAGGCGGCGCACGGCGGGCGGAGCGGCGGCGGCGGGCGGCGACTAGACAGACTCAGACTAATACCTTGCGGGGACCATGTCGATTTGGCCTTAATTGAGGTACATGGTCCATCAGGGCTGTATTTGCGTGCTGCAAGGTGCCCGTTTGAGCAATCGAGGAAGGGATCCAGGGCCGGGCTCGTGACCATTCACGATTTTCTGTCATATTTCGAACCAGAGACCGAGACGAGACAGACTTTGTTACCGACGGTCAACAGGTTTCTCTCACCTTCTCTCTGCCCAGCCTGCCTGCTGGGCATCCATGAACATGACAGACTGTGTGTGTGAAGTGAATGACATGCCACGACGCAGGCAGCGCGGCCGCGGTGCTGCTGGCTGTCCGGATACAGGATATGCACCGTAGGTGTGTGCGTGTGCTGCGATGTGCTGTATCCGAACCGTATGTACCGCACATACGGCTGTTCTGTTGTGTTCTGCTCTGTTTCCATGGGCCATGCCATGCCATGCCATCTAGCATCATGCCAGGTCGACATACGCGCGTGTTCTGCCGTCCAGTGCCCATGCCACTGAATGTCTCGCAGATCAGATGAGTGGTGGTGAGCATGCCAGCAAATCACGGTTCTCCGGGCGCCACGATGGATTGACTCTTCAATTGAAACTGGGGAATCTGCGCTGGCCGTGCTGACTGATGTGATGGATTGACCGGGGACGGGGACGGGACGGAATCTGGGCCGCTCCAGCTTTTCCCTGTTGCTGCTGTATGTTCCGATCCGTATCGTACCTACCTACCTTTTCTCATGCATTGCACTGCAGGTTTTCCCTCCTCCCAGGTCCCTGATTTCCTCCAAGAGTGTGTGGAATTGGGGAGGGGGGGAGAAGAGTCCCCGAAAAGGGAACGAAGGGTGTGCATGGCGTCATGTACGACGGTGAGATGCAGGCACCGATGGTCTGCCGCGGCGTCAATGTCGCAAGGAAACTGGGGAGATTGGATGGGCGATTTCCTTGGAGACTGGAGATTCTTGCCTCTGTCTTTGGTAGAGAGAGAGGGTGGTGGGAAGGGTGAGAAGGCGGAACATGGGAAACATTGGAACATTGGACATGGATGCGGGCAGCAGAGGAGACGCAGAGTTAGGGCTGTCAATCCAATCGAATTCCAGCTTCATTTTTGAAGATGGGGAATTATTTGGGGAACGGGGGGAGGGGGGCGTGTACCTTGTCACTTTTGTGTGGGTGGCCAGGCGGATTTTGAAGCGCAAAGCGCGCGTAGCGACAGTAAAATAATCCGCAGTTGGCGGTTCATCCAGTCAAAGATCCGAGATTCAGTCAGTCGGCAGGGGACCTCCTACGACTCAGGGCAAACGAGCAAGATCAGCAAAGAGGAACCAGAAAAATCAAGGCGTCCAGACCGGACTCAAACCGGGGTCATGTTCCAACAACAACAGCATCAACAGCCCAACAATCAATCAATCAATCCATCCATCAATCAACCAGCCAGTCAGTGCCAACATGGTACGAACACGCCAATGCCAGATGGTCAGCGCCAGTGCCAGATCGGGGCCAATGTCCGTTGGCCGGACTCGATGAACCGTCTCCTTCGGGGAAGCGAACTACATCAACAAAGAGTTAGACCTCATCGCCAAACATCCAGGAACAGACGTTTGTTTCCTGTAGACTAGACTAATCACATCGTACACATAGTCCCATCAATCCCCAAACCGAACTGCAGTCCCGGCCGCACGGTCAGTCGGCTGCCCTCCCCGAGATCTGGTCATGTATGCGACCATCCATATTCGTCCAAGGCTCGTCGAGGGAGGACAGCAAGCACGTCGAGCACAACGCGGGTGCGCCGCCCATCCACCCTGCCAGCGGGCCGATCCTGTTCTTGGCTCTGTCCTTTAAATTCGAAATAACTAGCCTGGGGCGGGCGGACGATGGGGCCGCAGACTTGGTCGGGTCCCCCGTTTTTTCTTTTTGCTTTTGCTTTTTGGGCACCAAAAACTTATTTCGAGCCTGTTGGGATTCGTCAATGAGCGACGAGATTCCGCCCAGCCGGGCAGGGCCTTTGACTAAACACCACAAGAGCGGAAGAAGAAAAGACGGCGCCACACCGAGTTGTCTGAGGGTCGTTCGGTGAGGACTCGCGCACGTCGTCCGGCGCGGCTATTGGTGGCCGGGCATGCATCTCGGCTGTCTCATCTAAGGCGCCTCGGCTTCGTTGGCATACTCGGTGAAGAGATGGCATGATGCCTTGGTGCTAGAGAAAGTCGACAAGTGATGAGATGCGGCTGTGATCACTTCATCACTTCACTGCGCAAAAAGTGTTAACCGAGCCGGAAGCACCCCTGCACTGCTGGCGGCGTGCGTTAAGCCGCGCCATCAACCCCGGCCTTTGCCGACGATGGCTGCTTGTTGATCTAAGATTGACGGATCATTGATCTTGGAATGAATGACCGGTCTGGATGTGTTTCACTCGGAGAATATGTCTGTATGCGAAGTTGATATCGATGACACTGTGACACTAGGCTGCAGTAACATCCAGTCAAATCGTTGATGTCACAGCTGACGAGAGACCCAGGGAGGCAAGCGAAGCTGACATGCGGCAGTTGAGCCGACCTGCAAACTCGATTTACCGTCCTGATTATGCCTCTTGTTGGGCAGATTATCAATCTCTCTGTGTTGTTGTCTTGGGCTGAAGGACGCCACACACCTCTTGTTAGCCCAATGTCTTGAGTCTTCACGATAGTCCCCTATTACCCAGCACTTAGGTCCACTAACCACCACTGTTTCCCCCGCCATCCCAAACACACCGAATTCTCCCTATCTTTGGTCCTGACACCAGGCTGGAATCAACACAATCAGGAACATGCCATCGCGTCTTTCCCCGTCATCTATCACAAAAGCTAACTCGCCGCTGCCCAAACTTGCACCAAATCCGGCCACTGACGTTGAACGTTTACTTCTGCACCGGCCCCCGTTGTCTTGGACTGTCTCGCTAGCCCAAGCAAGGGAAAGAGGGAGAATTTCTCTTCCCTTTGTCAGCGGAGGCAGCCCGACCGGCAGGAAGACGACGCAGCGGTTGTCTTTTGCGCGTGTCTCACCCTCTTTCCATGCCAGCGGTACGCCGTCCCGCCCAGCCGTTTTGCTATTCGTCTGTGAAGCCCATTAGTCCGCCTCACCTGTCTGACCCCCCAAAAGCGATTGATTCATCCTTCACCGCCTTGATTCGAAATGGAATGTCACCCCTTCACGAAGTGGCCCATTGTTGATTGTGCTTGAACATCTGATTGAACAGTATCCGAAGACTTTGGAACATGAACAGGGACATATCCACCGAATGGGGTTCTCATCTCGCGTTACACAAAGATCTAGCACGCAACTCTCGTGTAACGCGACAAGGACGCAACAAGGCCCGCCCCTTCAATCCTTGCGCATGTAGAACAACAAGCAACGCAGTACTTACCTGGGCTACTAACACTGCTAAATCACTCGGCAATCAGAAAGATCAGAAACACCAAGAAAAGAAGACCAACATCACCAAAAATCCGCCCCCATCCTCCCATCTTACCCAGAATTCGTTACCACCAACAGCCCCAGCCGGATAAGACACTGCGGCCAGAAAATCGACCCATCTCGTCCGAATACCTGGAATCGCGCTGTCTCAGCGACGCAACCCCCCTCGGGAACCAGCTGGACAGGGTTTCTCCAGCGCTTGCGACGAAACCCCCCGTACCCAGCAAATCTTTTAACCTCGTCCTTTAAGCGATGCGCCGGCGCACGTCATTCCAGCAGCCTAGAGTAGAAGAGCGCCCCCAATCCCGACAAGACCCCCAAAAGACGCCCCCAAACAGAACTCCACCGGTTCGTCTCCCTTTCTTCGGGAGGTCCCCGTGCCGGTACAGCACGCATTCCTAGGTGTCCCGGTACCGTCTGGGCCTCCCTGGACTGATGATTCCTCAGCGCAGAAATATTATCCGAATCACTTGTCTTGTCTTGTCTCGTCTCAACCACATCATCAAATCGCCTGATATCTCAAATCCGCTTGCGATGACTGGATCAGGGCATATTCGTCGACGACGGCGGCCTCACGATGTTTCGTATGTCAACTTCAACATCAATGTTCTGCGTGTTGCGCATAGCTAGAGCGCAGATCATCATCGCTTTGGCGGTGTTAGGAGGATCTGTCTGCAAGATTTCGCCTTGTTCTGCCAGAGACAGGCCACACAAGACAGGCATCCCATGTTTACAGCACTTCGAGGCCCACGACAGTGGATTAAACACCAGCAGACAACACCGAAAATATAGGCATTGCCGGCCAGCGTCTATTCAGGATACAGTGATTGGACAAAGCCCCGTAAGAACTCCTTAGCACAATCTTCTTTCTGTCCTGGATCTACTCCTCTCGAGGTGGCGCGACATGAATCTCCCAGTACTTCATCACCTCCTTAGGTATTCGCTCCTTCTGCTCTTCCGTCCGCGTATCCTCCCCATACTCTTCATGCGTAGCCCCTTCAGAAAGCACACCTCGCCTTGTGCCATTCCTCAGGAAGTCGAGAAACTCCATCGAAACTCTCACATACTCCCGCAAGCCCTCGTTAACGTTGATCGTAGCCCCAGTTGTCCATCTCAGCAGAAGAGGCTCAATAAGCGGCGCGTCCGTAACGCTAGGATGGCTCGTCTTCATGCTCGTCAGGAACCAACTGGACCCAACCCTCTTGAGCACATCCTTCACGATATCTCTAACGGTGTCAAAGTGCGGCCTGCCAAAAAAAATGGTGACCTTCTTCGACCACGAGTCCGAATGCACCACCAAGATCGGCACGTCGATATCCGTGTTCAGCCGCCCGCTGCTCTTTCCCGGGTCCAGAATGATACCACCCACGGCTGGGTTTTCGTCCGTCGTTGCGCCTCGGAGGACCTGCAACGCGCCCGTGGCACCAAACGAATGGCCTGCGATAACCGTCTCCGAGAAGTTGAGGCGGTTCGCCCACTGCTCCAGGTCCTTGCCCTCCTTTCTTGCGTTCTTCTCAAAGACGTCGCCGCCTCGGCCGGCGTCCAGTGACCTCAGCACGGCAATCGTCTCCTCAATCTCTGCCTGCCGGAAGGCAAGCTGCTCGAACTTGAAATCGTCATCCTCCATCTCCTTGCCGCCGCGGAGTTCCTTCTTGTTGAGATACATCACCGTCCTCTCCCTGTTCTCAGTGGTGACAACAGATCCGGGGCCGCTGCCGTCACGGTGCTCCACCGCCGCCACGACGACTCCCGAGCTCGCTAACTCGCCACAGTAGTGTGTATAGTCCGTCCTCGAGCTGGCCTGTCCATGCGATAATACCACGACCGGAAACTTCTCCCCAGACTTATCTTCGAGAGGCAGAAGCGGGACATCCACCTCGGCTGGGATCGTAATGCTCCCGGCAATAGCCCACAATGCGAACGTGAAGATCGGTCTCGAGATAAAGTTGTTAAAGTGCGCTGCGCGGGCATAGCCTTCCGCCGTTAAGCTGACAGGCTTGGGAATCCAGTAGTGACGTGGTCGCCTTCCTCGAACACCTTTGGTTGCGGGGTAGTACAGCGTGAAGAGGACAGTCTCAAGCTCGAATGCCGGCTTGCCGTCCTTGAAAGCCAGTTCACTCGTTTGCCGCGGTGATTGAACAGGGACTTCCACATCGATCGCGCCAACACCGTACCTTCCAGAGTATTGGGGCAACTTGGATGCCAAGAGTGGTGATCGGATGACGAGGCAGTAGAGCACGTAGAGCCCGATGAGCGTCCAGATGATGTACCCCCACGCAAGCCTCGGCTTCAACAGATCAACGGCCCTCCGAGAAAGGGCTGTCCCCCACGGCTGTGCCGTTCTCATCCATTTTGGTGTTGCTTCCATCGTTCTTTCGGGGGTCTCAGGCTCCGTGAAGTCGTCAAAGTGCGGTAGCGGAGAGTCCGGATGTTGGAAAGTTTGCGGTTCGTCGAAGGGCTCGAGTTCAACGTCGGCGTCTCTGTATTCTGGCGGAATTTGAGCTGCCATATTAGTGATGACGGATTCACATTATTACACTAGTTTAGTGTCATGGGTTGAATGATTGGAGTTTGACTGCATGATGATGGCGATGGAGAGATCGGCGAGGTCTAGGTGTTCGTCTGGTTCGGGTGTGGCGGATGTCATTACGTCATCGGTCGCCGCTCGGGCAACGGAGGCATGCATGAGATGAGGATGAAGTATAATCTCAAAATCATGTATCCTAGAGACATCGCCGGGATGGTCATGAAGTTGTGAAATCAGTATTGAATTATCTTTGTCGACGTCTAAAAGTGAACAGCCCTTGGTAGATTTGCTGGGCCTCGTGGACAACTGGTTGCCAGCAGCCGTGGAGTTGACTCCGCTATCTTGCCATGCTTCAGCAGGTGTCCAGTGTAAATTGTAAGGTTTCTCGCAGTACCGCCATTAACTCTAACGAACAGGGTGAAGCTGTAACAAGCAGAATCAGCTTCAGTTAACTCGAAATTTAACCGCGAGATGGCGAAGATTTGCCCCTTCCTATCTCGTCAACGGCAGGACAACACCTTGGATTTCGGCGCCACCCTCATGTGGCCCTCTTAATAGAAGGCCTCGTTGAAATTTTCAGAGCGAATGCTTTTCTGACCCTGTCCCCTGGTCGAGTTGATCATCTCATCGTCTCCAAGATCTCGTGTTCATACCCCCACTAACGTATCCAATTGTCAGCACAGTTTCCAGCTTATAGAGTGCCCTTAACACGAGCTGGGTGGTTATACCGAGATGAATCAAGGCTATGGCTCCTGGATCCATCAGGGGCCCGAATCGCTCGGAGACCTTAGTGAGAGCACTCCCAGGATAATATTGCTGGCAAGGGTTTATGCCATGATCAAGCAACCGGGGCGCCATGATCCATAGGGACAAGTTAACCAGACACATCTCAGGCCAATTTCGCCAAAACCGGAGCTCAGACTTCCTCGGCTCAGACTCTCTCGGCTCAGACTGCCTCGGATCCCTTGTTTGAACCATTGTTGTCCAAAAATGACCGTCTGGCGTCCAGGCCTCTCCATTTTCTGGAGACTGCTTATAGACACGCACTCTGGCGTAAAACGGGGCGACCTCACCCGATCCACGAGGTGGTACATGAAGCCATGATGCAGAGCAACAGCTGTTCTGGCGCCATACAACATCAAGAAAGAAATGCCGGGGAATCTTCTTTTTTAAAACTTCCGTCTCGTCGTGGATTTGGCGGTTGACTAACATCATGGCCAATGCGAAGTTGAATGTGTGCTCGAGCTGCTGATTAGGCCGTGTTGGAATTGTAGCCTGGCACTTCGCTGCCATCTTCCACTCCGACGTTTTGGGGCTGGGATTATCTTGGTAATCCTCTCTGGAGTTTCGAAGCTGTTGCGGATAGCTAATGATAGTATGATAAATGATTTCATCGCGAAGCTCGCGCGGGAGTCCCAGAAGCGTCGGCGTCGGCCTCATTTTGAGCTTCGTGTTACGGATTTGTGGGAGTGTGACCATGAAAGCCTTACGGGAGTTTCATGACCGCGAAAAACCTTTCCGTAATAAAAAAATCTACAATGACCTTGATGTTCGAGTGTGTGGTCAGCTGACCCACTTCTGTACACATAGTATCAAGTAGTTAAAGGCGATCAAGGTGTCGGATCGCCGCAGTCAAACCAGTATGTCTGGCTGCCTGGCCCGACTATATTTTCAATCTGTAGGATTCTGGAATACCTCCAGTAACCGGCCGAGCAACGTCCGGAGACTCGGCCCTCCGGTACACTGGCACGCTGTTGGGCTCACCGAGGTAGCTATCATGACAACAAAGTAAAGTCTCTCTCTTGGTTAAGCGATGTCTGCAAGCGACCCTGCACAGCTGGGATGAACACCGCCTCCAGCGTCCTGCCCGACACTTCGATTCAACCAGTCGCATTTCTCATCGCCAAGCCTCCCCGACGTCAAGGGTCCAGGTCGAAGGCCATCCCAGCAAATGTTTAGACTGCCCATTGATCCATCGAACGGCCCATGGCGTGAATCATAACTGCTACCAACCAGTCGCATCTCCCGGATCCGTTCTCCACGAGGCTAACGCTCGCCCGGGCCAACGAACCATGAAGCCGATCATCCGCCGTCCGTTTTGTCTTTTCTTTCCAAGCAGCTGGGAATCTCCAAGGTCTCGGAAAAAAAAGACTGTTGGTCCGTGATTGGGTGAAGCACGCAGGAAAAAGTGAAACACGCCACACTGAGACCTAGCCGCCCGCCGCCGTTGGCTCTCCCATTCTCCGTCAAACGTTCGGCCGAGAAGCCGAATAGCTTGTTTGGGCCTTCGCTTCCTCTTCCATTTTGAGATGCGCACTCCAACGGCTGGGATGCCCCCGCCATGAAGAAGCATTTTGCGGCGGAAAGCCTGTGTTTCTCAGCCATTCTGCTGCTCTACTCACCGACGCTCCTTGCATTTCCCGTCGCAAATGAGCTCAAATGGGGTGAAAAGGCCTCGGTTAGATCTGGGCCCGCGATGGAGATGAGGTCGTCTCGATCGTGTCATGGCCTCCTCGGGCTGACGGGTGCCATCGCAAGTTGCCATGCAGTCAGTATAAGAATGCCCAGCATCGCATTCCCTCATCCCATCTTGATTTTGGCTTCGGCAGACTAGCTAGGAAAATCAGCGTGACATCCTCCCAAACTCTTTTTCGTGTTCGTTTTCTGCCCACGTTTCTGAAAACCACGTTTTTGACCCCTTCCTTCGTTCGATAATTCAAGATGGTTGCCTCGCCGGTCGTGGCTTTAGGCTTTCTTGGCGCCTTGCAAGGCGCCGGCAGTCCGCTCGTACAGCGACAGGCTACCGGCTGCGCGACGGGCGTGCACATGATTGTCGCTCGTGCGAGTACCGAGAGGCCCGGGACGGGCATCATCGGCGAGGTCGCGACCAAGGTCCAGGCCCAGATCCCCGGGTCCGATATCACACCAGTCGACTATCCGGCGCAGCTGAACCCTTACCAGCCGTCTCAAAAGGCCGGAGTTGATGCCATGACGAAGCTAGTCCAGGATTACGCGAAGCAATGCCCGCAGACGAAGATGGTGTTGATGGGCTACTCCCAGGTAAGATGGTTTTGTCTAGCTGGATGACAGAAGCTAACAGCGACGTAGGGAGCGCACGTCACGGCCGATGTCCTCTGCGGAACGAGCGAATCTGGGTTCGCAGCCACGCCAGCCCAAGCGGCCGATGTCACCGATAAGAGTGCGTATAATGGTGTTGACAACTGGGCAGAAAAGGTCTAACTCTAGCATAGTCTCTGCCGTCGTGCTCATGGGCGATCCCAGCCACGTTGTTGGCCAACCTTTCAACACGGGAACAAGCCAGAAGGATGGCGTAAGTATACCCGGCGGAAAGATCAAACGGAGAAACAAAGTTGGCTAACGGATACATCCGCAGGTCTTCCCAAGACAGGACAACGCCGCATGTGGCGCGGTTGCCAGCAAGATGACCTCCTTCTGCGATACCGGCGACCCATTCTGCGACAGCGGAGCCAACCTTCAGGTTCACCTGGGATACGTGACCAGGAATGGAGACGATGCAGTCAAGTTTATCGTGGATAAGGTTAACGGCGCAGGAGCTGCGGGTGGAGCGAAGAACACTACTGCTTGACTAGGAGACGCAGGGGCCGGCAGGTCTAGCCTGTTGTGTTTCCAGTATCATATCTTGCTGCTGGCACAGATTGTTGGATTCGTTCTGCTGGCAGCCGCTTGAGCTCAGATCAGGATCAGTACAAAACGTAGTTATATACCAAACACGCACAAGTAATCGTTACCATGAGTCCCTCTAAACGGCGAGAAGACTTTAGAGGTTTCCCTGCCCAGTTCACGAAGTCGTCAGACACCTACCCAAAGGGTCTCAGGAGGTGTCATCTGCACTACACTCGTTTGAACTGTTTGCAACATACGTGCCTCAGTTTGGATAGAGTGCAGCTTGACCCAAGGAAATTGGTATAGTCGATGTTGTTTAACTTATGGTTGACTTGGTAGACATCTCATTTACACAGGTGGAAGCCTGGAGTTATGTGAAACGTCCTTCGCAATCGAGTTTATCTATCCCCTTAGCGTCAGACTCACCCACCACTATGTTCACATTCTCGTCCTTGTCCGCCTTAGCTTTGACGATCAAATTCCAGTCCTTCGAATTACTCAGGCCTGCACCAGCCCCAACCAATTGTTCAGCTGAGGGTGGCGAGGATTTCAAGGCAGGAACGATGAGATCCTCAAGATCTGACCACGGGATAACACTCAGAACCCTCCACGCGGTCTTGCACGCTCCTTAGTAACGAATGCCATCAAATGTCGTATCCCCATGCTTCCTGCATAGATCCCGATGACCTCTAAATAGATATAGATCATTGAAAAGACGAAGTACAAGGTGGTACCTGAATGACCTGATCCGTATCCGTATACTTCCGTGGTAAGATGAATCGCTGAGGGTGCCTAGCATAGATTGACGATCCGATCATAGTGGGTATTGTGAACGTGACTCTCATTTGACTAAGTCGTACTGAGAACGATTTATGTTTCGGCCGTATGGTTTGCTCAGATTTAGCGAGGTTCAGGTTTTCCCTGTCTTTATAGTACGCAGGTAGGTGAAGTAGCCAGAAGGAGTTCCTCATCCCAATCCTGCTGATGATAACGTAGATGCAAGGTAGGTAGTACGTCGCTAGTACGTCGCTGAATAGAATCAAGGCAATGGTCATGAAGAGAAGAAATATAGAGCATTATTGTGACCATGTCGTTGCCTGTAATCACCTATTTATCGCAAATGACCACTACGAGCGAAGTCAACGGTTATTCCCATCCTCGAAATCCTTCAATTCCCCCTTGAACAACTTCATATCCTTTTCATCCTCCGAAATCGCCAGAGAAAGAGATGAAATACTGTTCTTCCCAAGGGTCATTTTGTCATCCAAGTCTAACTCAGTGACTACGCCTGGCTGAAATCTGTATTCCCGAAGAATGTCCCTCAAACCCTCACGATACTTCGGCAACGTCTTCCTCGAGTAAGCCTCGAAAGCCCTCTTAGAGAACCAAGGGACAAGATCGTTGACAGCGCCATGAACGGCTCGCTTGCGAGACTTTTCGATCTCGACGCCATCTTTCGTGGTCTTAATTTTACTCTTCAAGTACATGGCTGCAACTGCTGTGATATTCTCCTTAGTAACCCCTTTGCCATACTGGCTGAAAGCCTGGTTCAAGATGAGGATCAGATCACAGGCGCACTTGAGAATCATCCGCACCGCTGCTGGTGCTTCGAGAAGTGGAGCTCCGAGGGCAAGCGGGATACCACCAACCACTGTGGTACAGGTGAGGCAGATAGCACCACCCCAGATGATCAAGGATTGGCTCAGACTCATAGCCATGAACGGCGCTAGATTTTTCCAGACGACGCCAGAAAGCACATCGTTTATATCGCCGACGCTGGCTTTTGGGATGCCAAAAGACCCATGCGCAATCTCTTGACAGAGCAACTTTGAGATGGTTGGTGTGGTTATGGCTGAGACGACTCCAGTCCCGAGACCAACTCCCGCAGCAGCTACGGTTGCCCTGAGCAGCTTAAGCGTCTTTTCAATGGCCTGGTTCATTTTTGCGTCGATATCCGGGATCTGAGCAGCCACCATCGCCTCAGATACTATTGGGCTGCTAAAGCTTTCCATTGTCATTTGGATCAATGCCTTGATGGAGTCTTGGTCATCTGTGGCATAGCTAATCAGTACCTAGATCTAGGGTGAGACTCGTTGGGGTACATACCCTTGGAGACGAAAGCGACTTTAGCTTTGAGCTCTGGCCAGAATGGAGAGGTCTCTGGCTCTTCGGCAAACTTCTGTCTGAAGATAGCTTCTCGTGCCGAAAGCAATTCCATTTCATTCATTTGGCCCCGATTGAAAAGTAGATACTTGTCCTTCTTGGTACCGACAACCACAACTGGTGTCAAGGGGCAAATGTCAATAACTTCTTGCAATACATTCGCCAGCGCCGACTGAACTGGGCGGTCTGTGTCCGTGTCGATGCACAGCCTGGGATACATCGGTTAGATGTTATAGGATACTTGGCACACAGTTGGGGAGTTCACTCACCATATCGCATGAAGGTTCTGCTTGATGTCTGGTTTACCGGACCTCGCTTTTAGAAACTTCTTGAATGCAGAGACCTCTTTGCTGTTGCCTGCCTGGAAACCTTCGGAGTCGTGAATAATGATGCCCGGGTGCAGATCCGACTCAAAGGCCTCCTCAATATCATGCTCGCCTCGTTGGTTGGAGTTCTCCTGAGTCTATCATCTATGTCAGCGCTGGGATAGTACAACAAACTCCACGAATCAACCTACCATTGCAATGCCAAAGACACGGTTGAGAAGCGTAGATTTCCCAACCCCAGTGTTACCACAGATCAGGATCCTGCAACTCGTGGACACCAAGAAGTCCCGGCGCCAGGGATCGAAGCTCGCTTCCACCTTTTCTGAGAGATACTTCAAGCTGTCGCGGAATGATTCCAAGTGATCCATTAAATTGCCAAGAGCTTTGGGTATACCCAGGGTAGGATAACAATCGACTAAGAAGTAGACAGATGGGTGTATCACCGTTCCGTTGGTAGCTAAGGGAGCAAGTCAGCAGGGTCTAAACCTCTGCACAAGGGTGCATGTGAACTCACAAACGTCACTGTATCCCTTCAAGTAACCGCGTCTCTGAGTGTCGAAAATATGCCTATTTCCCAGCGCGAAGCCCTTGAATCCCTTATTCACAAGGACTTCATGCGTAGACCGAATCTTCTGCTCGCCGTTCGGCCCCACACGTCTCTGGAGTCTCCGTCTTGGGACCTGCTGCAAGTTCCCGTGATTGTGCGATTGCCGGAGATCGTACATCGTGATCTCAATCCCGCTGGAGTATCTAAACGTCCATGGTTCAGTCTTGATAAGACTCTCTGGAACATCGGCCTCCAAGACTTTGTCTCCAAGGTCAGCAAGTTTCGGGGGCTTGGGGAAGGCAAGGTCCATAGGACTATCAATCAGGCCCTTGATATAATCAGGAGGATCATAGTCGAGGATTAGGCCCTCAGCCATGCTCTCAATCATCATCCACTGGAGAGGATACAGTGACAGCCCGTCGTGATCAGCCCCGCCACCCATGTCTGCATGTGCACCCACGAACCATGCCTGGATGCAGCGGTGACTGTCCCGCTTGACATTGGTATTCTGAATCGGATCGATCGGAAGCAGAGGGAAGGTCTTTCGCTCTTCGTTCAAGGCTAAGGCGTGTCGAATCTCATTGGTGAAGCTTAGATCGGATATGTCGACAGTGTCTTTGCCGAAGGTCATCTGAACAGTGTCGAATAGGCCAAGGAATCTGATCTTTGGGGGGTCTCGCGTGTTTTCACGGCTATCAATCTTCGTCAGGATGGCGCTGAAAAAAATGAAGGAACGCAACACCACTCACCGCCACCGAAACTCCTGCCCAGCAAATCCAGTCCTCCGGCGCCTTACTCCAAAGCTTTTGATTGCCTTCCACATTGAAGTATCCTTCACATTTAGAGCTTCGCGCATCGTGGTATTGTTCAGGAGCACGGAAACGGCCCGAACGACATCTGTATGTCCGTCAACTCAGCTCAGTCCCCTATGAATGCACCTCTTACATGCTCCACGGCTGAAACCGAACAACCACACTTCGTCGTGCTTTGATTCAATCTCTCGACAGCAGTACTAACTTCATTTAGCAAAGAAACAGCCCACTGAACACATGGCGTGACTTACTGCGTAAACCTCTTGGATCTGCTCTTCGCAACCTTTCCCAGTCATTCCATCGTTGAATCTGTTCAGTGGCATCTTGTTGGTACCGATTCCGGGGAAATACTTCGCAATCTGTAGACAGTCAGCTACAAGCAAAGCATACCAAATACGGAAGCCTTGCCTGTTCAACTTCATTTCCGTCTCCATCTTTTGTCTTCCCAATCTTAACCGAGGCGTAGATACGGAACACATTGCTGTTATTGCCGTGGCCATGGCCTGTATACGATTTAGCTGTGTGCTTTGTCATGTACACTGACCCTTACCTTCGCGTCCATCCTCGTTGAACCAAGTGCCGTCCACGCAGACGACAATCCTCCTGTAGCTTTGACGGCCGGCTCAGCTTTTCCATGGCGATAAGTGAAATCTGGGCCGAGGATGTGAAACACGCAAAGAAGAGAAATATCAAACAGACTCCAAAAGTTGAGAGAAACTGGCCAGGCAACAGCTTTATCATTGAGTTGACGAGCTCATCCCACGTTCAGAATTTTAGCCTGCCGCGCGGGACCCCCATTCAAGATGATACTTGCTGCTCTGTGCGACGATACTGAAGGCAGGCTGCAATGGGGCTGCCTTGGCACGCAGCACTCACTCCAAACGAGCCAATCACCGGCATTGGATCTCCCATCAGCTGAACCATTCACAAAAAGTGGTCATTCTCTCCAGTCGCTGGGTGGTGGGTAGCTCGATACTTCACGCCAATAATTTACGCGGCTTACATGCTGACAAAAGCATATGCCTGGAGATAATGCTCCTCGGAAGCCACCTACGCAAAGGGTGACCATATCTGGCTCTTGTATGTCACGATCCAAGGTGGAGGGCTGTAAAGTTGAGTTGGGGGCTGGCGGTAGGTGTGGCTCGACGAGGCTCTGGGATTCTTCCCCTGTATCATGCAACATTTTGATTGGATCAAAGAACGACTTTCTCTCTCAGCAGACCGTGATTACGGCATATGCATGTTCCGTATTTACACACAATACTTCCTGAGCCAACCCTCACCGTGATGCATTCCAAGGCAGCGGCGCAGGATTTCAGCCGCCCCGGACTTCAGTAAAGCCCGACTCGGAGGTACGGGCAGTCTTTGACCGTTGATTTAGAAGCTATCAGAAATCCTTATCAAGTAATTTGCCCCTCTCTTCTGGCTTACGGCAAGATGTTGGCTGTCACATGCTAGCCCAGACATGACTTTCACGCGACGTTCTTGGTGCCTTAACCTCGCCGAAACGCTGGTCTGGCTTTTGGTAGAGCTCGTCGCGCTTTGTGATGTTCCGTGGCCCAGGAGATATGATCATACACCTGAACACATCGAAACGTCATCGTCAAGGAAAAGACTAAAGATTAAGTACGGGGTACAGAGATGTGAAGGTAGACGAGGAGAGAAGCATATCCATTCAGAGGATAGTTTTTCGATTGGTGACCACAACAGACTCAGTATGCAAATATGCACGCATTGTGGAGTTGGTAGCCGAAATTTGCGCCTCAAGCGACAAAACGTCGTTCCATTTATGGTTACCTATTGGCATGTCTGGTAAAGGCTTTCATGACCACCTTTGGGCACTAGCCATGGAGTGCTTGTTTTGTGCTTGTTTGACACAATTGTTTGTAAAAGTGAACGGCATACCGTCATCAAACTGTGTTCCCGTTATGAGCTTATTCTCCATCTCTAACTCTCGAGACAGAAGCTCATCACAACTGGACCGACGTCGGGGGCTTGTACATGTCCGACTCGATGGCTTTCGTACGAGAATGGGGGCAAACGGTGGGAGATGACAGCTCATTCGCATCCATGGATGCCGGCTTTGGGCGACTATGAGGGGACCGTGGGGCAAATTCATCAAGGCGAGCTGCAATAGCTATAGTCCTTGAACTGTCAGGTAGTGTTCTTCGAAACAAGAAGTGGAATGAAGGGTGCTGGGAGATTCTTACGGAAACTTGCCTGACTTCGTAAATGTTAGCTATGACAAAGTCAATCAAAAGGGAGCCTCAAACGAAGAAATTTCGACAGACAGAAGAAAGACCTAGTGCCCCTAGGGAACATTTCCACCGCATTCGCTGATTCCATTCAAAACCTGAACGATGATAAGGTCCCGTCGGACGGATGTCGGCAGGCAAGGAGGTCATTAAAGTTGGAGGCGTGTTGAACCTCCGAGCCAGAGTTTGAGTTTGGCAACAGCTCAAGATTGTCGAAAGTCGAACTATCGACAAGGTCAAGAGCCATTGATTGACAAGCTCAAGACGAAAGTCACGTCCAGATCATGTCGTCAGAAGCGGCAATTGGTTCTGGACTTGAAGGTAGACCAGACTTGAGGTTTGCGGAGACTAAACGAAAGAACCAGAAACCTGAAGACGCGACGCCTAGCGGGACGACGCGACGCTATCCCAAGTAGCAAAGAAACGCGGACCCCGAGCTGCAGGCCTCGGCGACCATGCAACAATGTCCTGGCCCCTGCCGGAATCCGCCTACGGGACGCGGTACCGCTAGTGCAACCAGAACCACACTTGAGTACTCACCGCGTAGCTGGCATCGGGCCCCTTTTCCATCTCTCCTGCAAGGCAAGGTAGTCGGGCTGAAAGGTGGGTGACTACATGAAGTGGGTGGCCCACTAAAAGCATATGCAAACCGCAAAAACTGGAGGGAATGTGGAATTAGAAATTCCGAATGCAGGGTGAGCTGCAATGTAGGCTCGATCCGGTCGATGTGTATGCCCCAGCCTTCTCGCTACACGATCTTGGCTTGAATGTGGCCTTCAAAGGGTTGTCAGGGGTAAGGCATCGAAACGTACTAGAGGCGCTTGCATTTGTTGATCCGAAGCTTTTGAAGGGCCGTGAACCAAGATGTCTAATAAACGAGGAGAAAAACGGTTAGTGCCTGAGGGGACTGTTTCCAGCACCGCGGATCTGTCCACACTTCGGGGGGCATGGAGGGTAGTACCCCGGTCTTCTTTCAGGAAAGGTGATCCGTTAGCGCCACGTCACTTAAGGCCACATCAGGAAATTTGGCATCACTTCTCTTGGGGTATTCGTAGGCAGAGATGCTGAAGGCTGGACTGGGAGTAGTTGGCGGAAGACGTTGCCGTAAAGCAGTCTGCATTGGTCTGTTGGAACCCCAAACTGCGCCGTCGTCGAGGTGCACATCGCTGCAGCCGAATTCCGATCTGTGAACATGGATTTGACGGTCTCGCATTCAACTGACTTTCGACATCTGGGTGGCTATCGATAGCTGGCAAGGATCCAACATGGCCAGCTTGGCTCTCCAGCTTCGTGGGTGCTTCCTCAGATCCAGTTCTCGACACCAGAGTGTGCTGTGCCGCTGGAACACATGCAAAGGCGCCGAGACAAGACGGCTTTTCGGAGCGAACCCTGCAATAGCAAAACCAAAACCGCAGGTCACATGTCTTGGCTTGAATACTGCCATGGGTTTATGCCGGCCGGGAGAACTGGTAGTAAGACGTCGTTCATGAGTGGTGAGTCGAGGCTGTAGAGAGACGATTCTTCGTACGGCCACAGCGCCACGCACACCCGATTTTCCTCCAAGTCGGAACGCGGCCGAGGCTTGCCACGGGGATCGCCGAGGCCGATCCTGCTGATGGGCGCATACCAGAGGTTACAATGATCTACGCATGCTTGGCTTCCATGCTGAAAGCTCATCCACGAGCTTAGATGGAGCTTGATTTTAGAGCTAAGTTTGGATGTTGGCTCTACAATCTTCCAAATAATAGCTATCGATCTTAGTTGTCACCAAAGACCTCAAAGGCTTGCCATGCCTACTTCTCCCGAGGCGAAGCCCCCAAGCTGGACGAGGGCCTATGCAAGGCGATCTTCTTCCGCCATCACTGGCAAATTGCCTTCGAAATCTTGATGAATATCATTCAGGTGAAGCGCCTTCACTTGCGATACACCATGAAACAGCCACTTAGAAGTTTCTCATCGCGAAGCGATACCCGCCTGCCGGTCGTAAGCCATGGGGGCGTCCGACATCGCCGTCAGTGTGCTTGATCCATTGCTGGCAGCTTTCGGTCGTAGGATCCGTCCCGCACGCTCACCAGCGGCACAGCAGCGCAGCTTTCGGGTCCGTCGTCCTGAGATGAAGGCGGCCGGTAGGGCGCTTTCCTCCGTCACAGCAAGCGGCAGCGTGGCGTTGGATCACGGCCCGGACAAGCAGGTAGGACGAGGTCTGGAGAGCGAAAACGAATGTGGCTGGACTTAAATGGCGGGAACAGGTGCAAGAGGAGAATGCCCCAACGTCGGCCTCCTCCCAGGTCTCAGGTGAGCAGCGAGCTAACGAGACGACTGAAGCAGCATGTGTGGGGAGTGGAAGGACAATGGTCTGACTAACAGACATGGATGTCTGGCAGCAAGAGCCGTGTTGACGGGTCGCGTGTGAGTCCTGGTGCCTCGTGTATTGTCGGGCCTTTTCGCAGGGCGGGATTCCACCACTCAATGTGGACCATTCACACGTCTTCGAGGCTGCTTGGGAGAGGGTATCAAAAATAAGGAACAGGATGCCTTTGCCGGTGGCTTGCAGCGGCAGGAAACCATTGAAGGAACCGACAGAAGCGCACGCCCTATCAGACGGCGAACATGGCTTGTACACGCCCGTTGGATTTGGGGGCGTGATACATCGATTCTTCGAGCCCGAGTCGATGGAGCGGGAGGTGAGCACTTGGCGGCCAGGTCGAAGTAGACGATGGAGGTCAAGGGCGTGTGGGTGGGCAAGGGATCGTGGAGACTGGCTGCCTTAGCTCGCGTCGACAGGGTCTAGAGGCGCTGACCGGGCTGGGCTGCCGCTTTGAGCAGAAATTTAGGGCGGAGGAAGGCGGCCCGTCAACCAGATAGGCATAGCGTGGCGGACTCATGGAAGGGAGGGACTTTGAGAGGGGAGTAGGAGAAGGTCATGGGCAATTGTCAAGTCGATCATGTAGTTTGATGGTTTCCTGTCGATGTGGCTGGGACAATTTGAGGAGGAAGAAGAGAGATTAAACTTCCACGTTCATTTTCTCAACTGCTAGCAAAGAGCGAAAGGTCGTCAGCTTCTCTTGCTGTTCTTTGGACTTCATCTGTGTTGTGACAGGGATGTACTATCGTAAACACATACTGTGAGTATGACAAACAGGCCAACTGTAAGTACTCTTGTTAGCAACAAACATGCGGAAGCGAGATGAGACGACATTTCTTAGCGTCTGCTCAGAGAAACATTAGCAGCAAAGTCGCCCAAGACAGAGACCGCCGCTAGAGTGACAGCCGTCCGTCGTTGGCCCTGAGGCCACATGGAAAGACGGCCCGGTTGGAGAAGACGTTTGCTCCTCTCATTTGGATTCCCTGCCATCTCTTTTGGGTTTGGTGGCCTCTTTCTCCAGATCTCCTCCAGCTTTTCTCTCCACCATCTCACCTGTCCCCGACCAACCCAAACGCCGCCACGCCCGCCGTGTGCCTTGATGCGACTGGCTCGTGTTTTCGGCTTTGGACTTCGAGATCCCGGGCAAGCGCTTTCACGGAGCCAGATGATGATTCGATTCCCACAAATGTTCCTGATGTGTTGAGAGAAGCTATTGCCAACAACAAAAATATCTCCGAACAGCTGAGTCGCGGCGCATCACAGTCACGCATGGAATCGCAATACCCCCGGACATGTGCTATTGCCATTGGCAACGCAACCCGGCCAACTCGAGGCAAGACGGGCAGCATCTCCACACGCCCACACACTCCCCCAGATTCAGCAAAACCTTCTTTTGGGCGCTTCTCCAGCGCGTCTCCATCAGGCTGGTGCGAGAAACGGAGAGCAGCACAGCATCTGTAAACACCCCAGTCTTTGCGGAGCACTTCGACCCGCTGATCCGGTGAGGACTCAAAGGCCGCAACCATGTTTCTCTGTCAATCTGCCCAACGCCATTGACAGTTCAGTCAATGTCGTTGGCTTTTTTTCACCAAACACAGGTGTACCATGTCGACTTGGCTTGCCGGCCCGCGTCGTCTCTTCGTCTCGCGTTGACAGGTTAGCTGGACAGTGACCCATTAACGCCCCTGGCACAACGGCACAGCACTGAATGAGCCAGCCAGCAAGCCGTCGACGAGTTGGGGATTCGGGGTTGCGTCCACGCTAATTCAAGCGCGCAGCACACACAACCCAGTTCCCCAGGTGTCCCTCATGGTTTCTAGATGAGTTGCCTCGATGCCCACTCAATCTAATTCACATTGATTGCGACGCAGCCACCAAGACCATCAACGAGGGACTCTTGGTACCTGCCAAGCAGTGTCACGCTCCAAGACAGCCACACCTAAATTCTTCAAGAAAGTCTGTGATTCTAGTCGTAGGCGAGAACCGGCAACACCGTACACATAACCGGCCGTCTACTCTGCCCATCTGTCGGATGCTGATGGACTGGGCCCAGTGGCAATCAGCACCGCACATTGCATAGAGCAGGGGGGCCGTACCAACAAGGGGTGTGAGCAGTTCGAGGGTGGTGCAACCAACGATCTGCTGCCCAGCCAGTATAAGCAAAGTCCAAGTATTACAGGCCTGCCGCCCTTTCGGTCCCATGTGGGAGTGGCCCGTCCTTCCACCTGCCCACCCCTCCCATGCATGGGAGGGTAGGCTCGAAACGGCCGACCTAAGGATGGGCAATTGGAAGTTGGGGTGCGTTCTTGCGAGCTACCGCGTCTCTCCATCGGAATCCTACTCCTCATCCCGTCTCCCAGGGACCAAGACGCCGAAAATCATAAAACCTCAGCCTGTCCCGCGATCCCTGGCTGGTTCGTCTTGAGTTTCCCATCCTCACCCTCATCCCTCTCCACCGCAACATCCAAAACCACAGTACAGACTGTGGTAGTCGGCAACTGCAGCTCTCCTCAGAGTGCCAATACTTGAACGAGGAAGTTCTCGGCGGCTTGCCACCAACAGCCAAGATGGCCGAAAAGGTTGACTCCGTCAACATCTCACCCCACCATGTCGACCATGACTCCGACAAGGCAAGCCAAGCCTCCATTGCTGCCGCGGAAACATGGACGTCTGCTAACGTGCTTGACTTTACAGAAGGAAGTCGAGACCAAGGTGGTCACCGGCTCCGAGGCCTTCAACGAGGCCATGATCAAGGAGCCGCCCAGTGCCTGGACCAAGGCTCAGATCCTGATCTACGCCTTCTCTCTCGTTGGTTTCTTCTGTTCCACCATGAACGGATACGACGGTTCCCTCATCAACAACTTGCTGCAAAACCCCTCTTTCAAGGCGCGCTACGGAGCCGAGAACGACGGTATCTGGGCCGGTATCATCTCTTCCATCTACCAGATCGGTGGTGTCGTCGCTCTTCCCTTCGTCGGTCCGGCTCTTGACACCTGGGGTCGCCGCATCGGTATGCTCATCGGAGCCAGCATCATCATCATCGGAACGGTTATCCAGGCCACCGCTAACGGCACCGGCCAGTTCATGGGCGGCCGTTTCCTCCTCGGTTTCGGTGTCTCCATTGCAGCTTCTGCCGGTCCCATGTACGTCGTCGAAATCAACCACCCCGCTTACCGCGGTGTCGTCGGTGCCATGTACAACACCCTCTGGTTCTCTGGTGCGATTGTTGCTTCCGGCACTGCACGAGGTGCCCTGGAAATCCATGGTGGTAAGTACCGATATCTTTCCGATCCTTCTTTCATTCATTCCTTTCTTGTCGTTGTCTTCCCTGTTTGTATGGCTACGGGGTGGGGCCGTGAGCGGTGGGGCCGGCGAATTGAAGCCGTCACAACAACAACCCAGCCCCAGACTCATGATCAACTTCACAACACCATCTTCATCGCTCCGTACACTCGGCTAACTATTTTTTCGATTCCTCGTGGCGATTGATCACCTGGCTCCAGTGCTTGTTCTCTGGTTTAATCGTTCTTTTCTGCATGTGGCTGCCCGAGTCCCCTCGGTGGTTGTTCGTCAACAACAAAAAGGACCAAGCCACTGCAGTGCTCACTAAGTACCACGGCAACGGCAACCCCGACTCCCCCTGGGTAAAGCTGCAACTGCACGAGTATGAAGAGCTTCTTGACATGGACGGTGCTGACAAGCGCTGGTGGGATTACCGCGCTCTCTTCCGCAACCGCGCCTCTGTCTACCGTCTTTGCTGCAACATGTGCGTGTCCATCTTTGGTCAATGGGCTGGTAAGTTGTTTCCTCAAGCATATGAGAGACTTGACTAATTATTGTTTCAGGAAACGCTGTTCTGTCTTACTTCCTCGGTTCCGTCCTCGACACCGCCGGCTACACGCACCCCATCCAGCAGGCCAACATCACCCTTATCAACTCATGCCAACAATTTGCCTGCGCCATCTTCGGTGCCCTGTTTGTCGACAAGGTCGGACGTCGCCCGCTCCTTCTCTTCTCCTTCTCCGCCTGCACTGTCGTTTGGCTCGGCATGACCATTGCCTCCGGCATTCTTCACCAGTCCGAGACCATCAACGCTGATGGCGACTCCGAGTTCCACAACGCGGCCGCATCGCAAGCCTGCTTGGCCATGATCTTCCTCTTCGGTTCCGTGTACTCCGTCGGTATCACTCCCCTCCAGGCTCTTTACCCCGTTGAGGTTCTTTCCTTCGAGATGCGTGCCAAGGGTATGGCCTTCTCCAACTTGGCTGTCAACGCCGCCGGTCTCCTCAACCAGTTTGCCTGGCCCGTCTCCATGCAGAAAATCGCCTGGAAGACCTACATTATCTTCACCGTTTGGGATTTTGTTCAAACGGCCATCATTTACTTGTACATTCCCGAGACCAAGGGCCGTACCGTAAGCTCTCATTTCCCCTTGCTTGGCTTAAAGGCAGCCTTACTAACCCTCTAAAACAGCTCGAGGAACTCGACCACATCTTCGCCGCCAAGAACCCCGTCAAGGAGTCCACCCAGAAGAAGGAGGTTGCCGTCGACCGCTACGGCGACGTCGTCAACGTCCAGAACGTCTAAATCTGAGACGCCTCTTACCGCGGTGGTGAAATTGTCTAAGCGAGCAAGCGAGCGAGCGAGTTGTGTTGATGGTTTCTTATTGCTGTTGGATATCCCTTTAATGTCACGAGGACACGGAGACTTTGGAGACGTGCGGTCTACTTTTGCATAGCTGAAGAGTGTAAGCGCTCGAAGCCGTTGTGGCGGCTATTGGGTGCGGCCCTCTTCAAGCCAACTCTTCTCTACCTACATACCATACCAATATACCGTGCCGTATACCCTGAATCCAGACGTTGCATTGAATTTGACCATTCTTTCGTTAGCTAACAACTGGTCGTGCTGACTCTGCGCGTGAAAGAAAATTCCTTGGCTAGCTGAGGGTTTGTCAGATGCTACGCCACAGGCTTTGCAGGTCTTATTGCCACCTCATAAATCCCACGGCATTTCATAATGCCGCTCTCGGGGCTTGGCTGACTTCGTGTGGGGAAGTTGTTGAAATGAGGCGGGGGGTTGCGTTGGGTGTGCGTGTGACCTGAGTGCGCGGTGGTCAGCTTAGACGGCTACATTACCGAAAGAGGTCTTGCTATTCGGTCGGGTAGTAAGTATCAACCACTATAGGGACGACAATGACAAAATCAACGACGACAACGACGACGAGGACGATATCAATCACACTGAACGACAACATTAACAACAACAATAGCGACGGCGAGGATAGTAGTAGAGATAGGGACTAGAAGAGTAATAGGGACGATAGAGACGATAGGGATAATAAAAGCGATAGAGATAATAGGGATAATCAAAACGATAGAGACTATAGGGATAATAAAACTCTTAGACTAAACAGACTATTAAACTAACATAAGTGTAGATCTCTGCTCTCCTGATCAGAAGTATTCACGTAGACAGTAAAACTACACTAAGAGCAGTAAGTTTACTAGAGAATAAGAAGAATTATCACTTAGGGTTAGTGTGGCAATAGAATAGACAAGTCGCTTTTTAATTGAAATTGAGACGTCCTATTTTTTATATGCTAAGGTAACTACTTTTCCTGTGGCTATGATCTAATCACTTTGTCGTTATTATCGCCTTTGTTGTTGTCTTTGTTTTTATTGTTATTATCTTCGTCTTCGTCGTCTTCGTCGTCTTCGCCGCCTTTATTATCTTTATCGTCGTTATTATTATCTTCTATTGCTATCGCTATTTCTATCTCTATTATAACTTGTATTATTATCCTTATTGTCGTCTTTATGACGACTATTATTACTATAGCTATCAATAGAAGTAAGTAAGTGAATAGGAAATACAGCCGCACAGGGGAAATTAAGCGATCTCTTGGAATTACGCGGTGATTATTTGTTTTCTTAGCGATCAATACTATCGCAGCGGATTCTCACTCACATACACAAAGTCTGACCAACTGAACATTAACAATCCTCGACTTTGAATTTTCCTCTTAGGTTAATGCTTTGCGTTCTGAGGTGGCTATCATTCATTTATTTGAGTTGATTTTGGACCTATTTACTTATGGGTGACGAAGTCGGACTCTGTACCTCACCGTGGTGTCACCTGGGAACTTTCAGCGAAAGAATGCTAAATCAGAGACGCAAAGATTTTTTCGATCCGCGTGTCATTTTCAATCACGCACGCGTGACAATCGCAGTAGAGCACGAGACCATTGAGGGTGTTGCTCATTCGGTCAATGTTCTGAAGGTTGACTGATGCCTGCGTCAATGCCCGGTGAATACCTGGCATTATCCTTCTCATCACGAAGGATGCCTCCAGCCAAGGCTGGAGATGGCTTCAGTCTTGGCTGGAGATGCCGACCGACAGAAGACATTCGACCGACAGAAATTATTCGACCGGCAGAAGCCCAGCGAGCGATCAGCAGAAGCCCCTCGACCAACAGAAGCCCAGAGACCGACAAGTTGAGCGCCTCATACATGATCTCTCTACCTTTCCCGCCTCAGCTCTACTCTACCTCAACTTCGCCCTTCTTCAGACGTTCCATCGATGGCATCTCTGCTCGGCTCTATCTCCACATCTCCCTCCTTCAGGCAGTCTATCAACGGCATCTCTTCTCAGCTTCACCTCTGCATCTCCCCCTCTCCAGACATTCTGTCGATGGCAACTCTGCTCAGACATGCCTGCTCATCTTCACTACAACCCTGTGGACGGAGCCACTACTTTCATCGTCGTTTACCCAGAAACTCAGCGCATTTGGACCTTTCACACAATGGGCTCCATGAATCGCACCCTAGACTATGGTTGCCCGGAACATATCCGTTACAACGATGCAAGATAGCTTTTGCCGTTGAATTCCATGGTTTGCGCAGGGATGGATGCAGTGAGTTGCCGAGTGCTGCCTTTTATCTTCCCGGAACAACATTGCTGACATCACAGGACTACAGACACATCGCAGCGCCCGGCTTATCCAAAGTATGTGGTTACAGGATTGCTGTTGAACGGTTACGACTCAAGTCTGATTCTACACACGAAGTTCCCCTCCTTTGGTACAGCGAAAATGGCATATCCTGGACGCTTTCGCGAGAAGGGTGGCTGTCGCGCATCAACGGATTTTGGACAACACTTCGTGGCAAATCGAACTCTACAATATCCATGGATGTCATCACTGCGAGCTATGACGAAAGGCATGGACCTGAGCGGGCCTCGAAGATTGACTTAGCAAGGTCTGCATTGGCAAGAAGGAGCAACACTTGGAGTTGTGTCTACGCATACATTGATGGCGAGATCTGTTTGAAGAGGATTGGTTGGGCTATTACAACTCGAGGGAAAGACAAGAGAGAAGGAAAAGAGGACAGGGGAAAGGAAGAAGCAAGGACAAGAGAGGGAAAAAAACAAAAAGAAAAAAAAAAGACCAAAGAAAGAAAAAAAGAAGAAGGGTGCGGAAAGAAAACAAAAGATCCAACAGGAAGGATGCGAAGCAAAGAGCAATGGAATCAGTGATGAGCCGGGAGTGAGGCAGATGCCATGGAGAGAAGGACACACAAGCATCGGGTATCGGTAGGAGAAGACGACAGGGAGCAATGGGTAGATGAGGGAGTCGGGCACCAGCTGCTGGGAAGGGATTGAAGCGGGAACGGGGTTGATTGGAAGTCCTTGAGGCGCCGCATGGGTATGTTGGGAAGGGGCATATCTGAGGCAAGGCGGAGGAAAACATGGGAGACGGCGACAGGCGACTGGACTTGGTCGCATCAAGGCACCCACCACGAAAAAACACGAGTACGGGCACGCATCCAGCACCACAACAACCACCACAGCTCGATCACATCATGGAATCCATCACGAGCCAGCGCGAACACGAGCAGGCATCCAACTGCACAACAACCAGCGCAGCTCGATCGCATCATGACATCCACCGCGAGCCTGCAAGCACACAGGCGCTCAAGTCGCAATATTGAAGCCTTCTAGGATAGGTGCAAAGACAGGTAGGCGATACTACTGAGATTTCAACCACATGCTGTTGCTGACTCTTATTTTTCTCAGGTCCATCACCTTTCCACGATCATCGAACCGACAGCCCCCTACCAAATCACTGAGCTCACTCGACGAGAAACAGTCGCGTGGTCGGGTTCAACGAGTATCACATCTTGTTGCCACACTTTCCCACGAGAGCCAAAATTTTCAACGCGCAAGCTGTATCGACCTTTCCCCCACAACGGTCGACAATCCGAAGTCGACTCCCGTTCAAAAGACATGCTCATTCACAGCCGACGGCAACCACGCTTGAACCGGTTCGCGCTATTTCCTGTGTTAAGAAACTACATACGTCTGGATTGTTTCTACTCGCTGTCACCATCCGTCCACTGCCACCTCGCCATGCGAAGCACTGGGTCCTCGTTGACACTAGGATTCATGCTCATGGAGAGCGTTTGTCGAAGTTACGAACACTACGATTTGCTCCTGCTACACCAAGCAAAACCAGGTTACTCCTGCGCTCATCATCAGGAGCAATCTCTCGACAACTACATTGCTATGTCGTCGTCTGCATCACGTCGCAGGGTATCCCCCTAGCCGGCCGCTACTACGTCGTCAAGAGTCGCGGCCATTTCTTCCCTTCTAAATTTCCTTCTTCGCTGTTTGCCGGGGGCGCCCCTTGTTGACTGCCGTATGACTCCCACGGGAAAATATTCGAGGGCCAGGATGGCTCACCAAGAAACCTCTATAGTCACCTATGGGGGTATGTGAAGAGAGCGCGAATCGCCTTATTTATAGGGGCAGGTATCTCCCTCTTCACACTACCACAGCCCATTACTCCTTCAACATCAAAATATCGCTACTATACTACGTCGACACTTTCTATCGCCGCTGCCCCGAGAGCAGCGATAGCCTCTTTACAATCGCCCAAAAGAACCAGGATGAAGTGTGCAGACTTTTGCGCACACGACCTATTCCCCTCTCGGGCATAACCATCTCACCGTGATTGATGTGCCTGGCATCTTCAGAACGGCGACGTCTGGGTGGACCACGGACGAGGACATAACATGGGTCAAAAGCATGGCCCAGAGCTACATGAAAAGCCCGAGAACCACCACCCTCGCTGTATGGGGGTCCAAAGGATGGCCAGGGCTACATGCAAAGCCCGAGAACCATCATCTTTGCTGTAGTTCCGTGCAACGTCGACATCGCCACCCAAGAGATCATCACCATGGCGCAAGCATTCGACCCCGAGGGAGTCCAAACGATGGGTGTTCTCATCAAGCGGCAATGCAACAAGTTGTCTGCGAGCTCATCGAAGGAAAGCGATTTCCACTGTGTCGCCGCGTTTCAAAGCTACCCTGTTACCGATACAACGCGATCCAGATGGAATTCAAGGTCACGGAATTGCGCCCTTGTGGCAAGGAGCCTGAATGACATGCCACTCCCTTCATAGATCATAGCTAGTCGAATATATAGTCTCGTCAACTTCACAACCCCCTGCTCTCGTTGTCTGAGTTCGTTAAGTTCTGTCTAAACGTGACAGACCACGAATTACGCAAGCGTTCGGCTCACGTAAAGCC